GAACCGAACCGGTTCTTACCTCCATTTTTCAAACCCAAACGTTTCTACTCACCGATTTTTTGAGCGTTTTTGAACCGAACCGGTTCTTACCTTTAGCGAACCGGTCACCGATTGTGTCTGCTCATCGAACCGGTCACTGGTTGTACCTGTTCACCGAACCGGTGACCGGTCGTACCCGTTCGCGGCCCGTCAGTCACTGCGATTCTCCGCTGGCAGTTGTTCATCGTGACCGGCCATTATAAATAGACACTGACCCCCCAGAAATTCAATCCGGTTTTTTGCACTGAAACTCTGCCGGAATTTTTCTTCCCTTCCGATTTGCATATTTCTGTTCTTCCTCCATTGTAATCCCTCTGGCACATTGTTGTGTTCGTTTGTGCTGTTGATTGGTAGTGTCGCCACTCTTCAGACGAAATTCGTTCTATCCTGGGAGACAAGTGCCCATCAACCATTGGCATCAGTGAGGGGGCGAATTGTCTTAAGGAGACATGTTCTTTGGGCTCAGATTTAATTCCTAATTCTGCACTCATTCTTTATCTGTCTGTTCCATACTACTTACAACAAGTAAGTCTGTTATATTTTTCCATTATTGCACAGTATAATTCTAATCATTTATCTCTTCTGCTTTATACATGGGTTCAAACCTTTCAGTGATGTAATATCTCCCACTGTCTTCAATAACACCACCCGCTATTAATATTTTATCTCATTTTTTTCTAAAAGTTTAATTTTTTAATACATCAACTATTAATTACGAGCAAGTCAAGTGAGACTACTGACCAATACAGGGATAATATTTCTCTAATAAGATGGAGATAAGTTTATCTTTTGTATTTATATGAAAATAGATGAAACCTATTTTTTTTATTTCTCTTTCTTCTCTTCATATTGGTTAGGGTTCATCCACTCTCATGTGAGTACAAGAGATAAATTATCTTCATCTTTCAGGAGAAATATTAATCCTGACTAATAATGAATATAAAATTGTTAAACTTACACGGGGATTATGCCTCTTATATTTATATTTTGAAAATAGTTTTATTTTATCATTTAAATAAAATTAATTATTTTAAAATATTTTTAAACATAAATTAATATTTTTAACATAAAATCTTTCAAAATTATTATTAAATAAGATTAAGTACTATTAAACACTCTGAACATCAAGATTTTATTTTATTTTTTGGTATTTTATGAATGACATGGCGATTGATTATCAATGTCGTGTTTGAGCTTTGATCGCCTGCGATTTATGAAATTTTCAAATCCAATGAAGAGTACAAAATGCCACAACAATCCAATTTCCAATCATATATAAGATAAAAAGAAAAAGAAAAAGAAAATGTTCTAACGCAACTTCTACCCAACGTATATTGGGAACTTGACATAAATGGTTGCGCAAGTATGTATCAATGTTTTTATTTTGATTTTAAAATTCCTCACTGTGATTAAAGACTACTTGTTTACTAAACTAATCATTAGAGACGAGATTAGCATCCTAATAGTGCTTTGACTGGAAACATGACAAGGGGAAAATCACGTAGTTGAAACTTTTAACACATACAACACGGGTCAAGCAGAAAGGATTTATTAAATCATGTGGTTTGTTGATTGTTGTATAATGTATACCTTCGGTTCCACCGTTCGTCGAATTTTTAAGATTAGAATTTTACATTAATTTTTTAAATATTATCGTGTCATTTTATTAGTTTTTAAATTTTTATCACTAAGTTATTTCTTATCGCTATATTTTTTTATAAGAAATTAAAATAACGATTCAAGAATTTAATAATTATTTAGATTTTTTGAAAATTAATTTAATAATAAAAATATTTCAACAACATGTGACCATTTAAAAGTTTAATTTAACTGCCGGTTGACTTGCTCATTTATTTATTTAACTATGTTGATGGGAAATTATATCACTGCTTACGCCATATAATACATTGTATGTAGCAGGAAGGATTAATTAAAGGGAAAAGTTCACCCATGCCCCTGTGATTTGTTTCAGAATCATTTATGCCTATGTGGTTTTTTTTATCACATATGTCCCTGTGCTTTGTAAAAAATAAGAAATTACAGGGGTATATGTGATAAAAAACATACCCTTTTACAAACTACATGGGCATATGTGATAAGAAAAATACCACAGGGACATAAGTGATTCTGAAATAAACCACAGAGACGTTGGTCAACTTTTTCCTTAATTAAATTAAGTGGCTTTGTTGTATACCTCTTTTTTTGGCACATACTTTGTTACGCCTTCAGCTCCACTTCCGTTGTTCTTTTAATATCCTTCGTGTTGTTTAGTGGTATAGTGTGTGGGTTGAATTCTTTATTTATTTATTTTCATGTGGTGGGGTCTTTTGTTCAAATTGAAGTTACTACTATATCTTTCAATTACTAAATTTTTTATTTAGTTTTTATTTATAATAGAACTGATTTTTATGGATTAAACATGCAATCCATTTTAAATATAACTTAAGTAACTCCAAAAGCTTCTTATTTTGAACTTTAAAAGAAAATAATTAAAAAAAAATCATATAGGGTTGGTGAGATACCCCCTTGGACAATTTGTCATCAATACTAGAAATAGTGACCACAATGTCACGTTTTGTCAAATTTTTTATCCAAATGTCACGCGAATAGTATTTTTTACCAGACTGTCACGTGTCATAATTCGCTACCACTGGTAGCGAATTTTGTGGCCAATAATTTCATGACACATGGTCATATTGTAGACCAAATTCGTTACCAGTAATAGCGAATTATGACATGTCAGCTTTTTCCTGCGAAAGTATGTCACGTGTCAAAAAATTATTCGCGAACATAATTTGCTAAACAGAGTAGCGAATTACTATCTCCTTGACAAGTGTCATTCTTGCTGACTGTGCATTATGACATGCCATAATTCGCTACACTGTGTAGAGAATTATTTGCAAGCATATTTTGCTACATAGTGTAGCGAATTATCCCACATGGCATTCTGAAAAAATTTACTATTGATGTGACAGTCTGATAACTTTGTTAGTTAAATATGACAAAATGGTCACTGTTCCTTGATACTATATGCTGGTGTATCACATTTAATATTATAAGGCCCAACGCTAGTACGAACCAAGAAGGACTTTAATTACATTCTGGTTGGTCAAGCCTAGTAACAGAAACTCAAGAAGAAGAAACAAGAAACCAAACTTCTGTTCTAACAAATTCGCCTTGTTGGGCCTCGTCAGTTCTCATCGCTTGTCTTCTTTACATTGCAAATTTTTTTCTATGGGCCTAATGAGGCCCAAGGATGACTCGGACATGCTTCTGATGGATTTGGAGCTGCGTGTGGCCTTTGATAACTTCGCCTCTGCCGTAACGTAACGTCTACAAAAGAAGTTTTGTCCATAAAAAACGCGAAGACGAGACCAGACACGCGTTTTTCTTACGTGCGACAAACAACGCATTTCATCACGTGGGAAGGGAGAATGAAAATATCGCGATATTTCAGGCAGATGAGATATTTTAACCTTAGGAATAGGAATAGCAGAATAGTCGGTTATCCAAAAAGAAAAAGAATGAGCACAATAGCCAATAAGAAGAGACCACGTAGCTAGTTACACGGCTTGTGAAGTGGGAGTTCTGTCACTTCTGTGTGCTTTTATTGCTTTTCACGCTAAAGAAATGGGAAAAATTGGCTGGGTGGGGACCACAACCCACTGTGTGATCCATTCAAAAATCTACAGTACCGGAATATCTGGTTAGACGATTATACCCTCAGATATGGAGAACATGGCTATCCTCAACACGTCATACTTGCTTTTGTTACCCCAACTTGCCCCTTTGGAGTGGATACTTATTAAAAATTGGAGTAAATTTTTTTTTTATTTTCAGCAAATTTTACGATACCTACTTTAATTTTAATAAATAAAAAGATTTTTTAAAAAATTTAAAATGTGATCTTTCACAAATTTAAAAAAAATTCACATTAATTCATCAAAAATATTAGAATAAGTTCACTTTAAAATTTTTAGAAACTACAAATAGTCTTTTTATTTATTAAAAACTAAAGCAGATATTATAAAATTTACTGAGAATCTAAAATGATATTTACTCTAAAAATTAGTTTGAAAAAGAAAAGAAACCCAGCCTCGGAATCAGAATACGTAAACTTGTGGAGAAGGATTGAAAATATACGGACCTAGAAAAAGACATCCTAACCAAAATAAATACGCCTTAAACAAGGATCATGGACATCACATATGAAAGGAAGTCATTGCTCCACCACAGTTAACTTGAATCAGGGTATAAGTTATTTCAAGTGAATCCCAAATTACATTATTTTGAACGGGGAAATGTTGTACTTATAATTTTTTTTATAACCTCTTGTAATTATATATTAATATTGTTGATTTTCATCAATTAACGATTATTATTTTCACAAATTAAATTCATTAATTAATTATTAATTCACAATAAATGATAACCGTTGATTGATAAAAATCCACGGTATTAAGATATGGTCGTAAGAGATTGTAAAAAAAAAATTGTAAGTATAACATTCTTTATTTTAAATTAATAGAAAATGTTTATGTAACTTTGTTTTTTTTTTTTATCAGAATTTTACTGAAATATTATTTATTAATTTCTCTAAAATTATAAAAATATCATTCATTAATTTAAAATGACATAATTTTAAAAGTGACAGGAGATAAATTATTTTTCCGTATATTATTTGTAACATGCAACTGTTTTGTTTTTTAATAGTTAATTTATCTTTAATTACAAGTGAGACTAGTTAATTGGTCTTAAATGGCCTATAAGCTGCAAAGGCTATTAGTGTAAATCAATGGTAACCCAAAAATTGAACATGTTGCACGTGGTGGGATAATCACGTAATCACACCTGTTTCGGAAGCTACTCTCTCTCTCCCCCCCCCTGCGAACTTTCCCTTCTCAAAAGCTTATAAATTGGTATTTCGAGTTTCGTTCTTCATTTCTGCAAATCTCAAACACCTTTAGCTGTCTGATTCAATCCACTCGATCTCATCATAACCATCATTTCCTCAATCTGTAAGTAAAGCTATATCATTGTAAATTTCCATTCCCACTCTTAGTTATAAACTTAGAATCTTCCCTTTCTAGATTTATTATTCTTCTTCTTCTTCTTTAATTTTCCCCATACAATTACATATTATTTCCACACAAACAAAGAGTCGTAAATAACTAAATTATTGATTTTTAATAGTTCCAAATTGTTTCGTTTTCTGGGGTGTGATTATTTGATCATACAAATGACCACTGGTAGCTGTATTGGAATCTCTACCATGAAGCCTTGTTGTAGAATCCTAAGCAGTTACAAAAGCTCGTCGCTTTTTGGGTTTTCTCCAACCAAGTTTAATGATTCAACAATCATGTGCATCTTGTCCAAATCACGCCATCCCAACTCAAGCAATAGCCATAGATACTACACCTTTAATACTAAGATTGTAGGGTTCATACGTGTGACCAATCAGAATCGGAGAGATTTTAACGTTTCCGGTTCAAATTGGGCTCATTCTAGGAATTTTAGCACTAGTTTTTGTGTCAATATTGGTAGTGTTAGGCCTAGGGTTGTTTCGATGATACCGAATGTAGCTTCAGATATTAGAAACCATTCTACATCGGTTGATTCTCATGTTAATGACACAAGCTTTGAGAAGATTTACATTCAAAGTGGCTTGAATGCGAAACCATTGGTAATTGAAAGAATTGAGACTGATCAAACTAAATTAAAGGAAGTCTCTGAAGAAAGACATGACGGATCATATGTAAATATAGATATTAGTGAGAATAAGGTTGAGAGGGAGGTGTCTGAGATTGAAAAGGAAGCTTGGAAGTTGCTTCAAGGTGCTGTTGTCACTTACTGTGGGAATCCGGTTGGCACTGTTGCAGCTAACGATCCTGCTGACAAACAACCACTGAATTATGATCAAGTCTTTATCCGTGATTTTGTTCCATCAGCCCTTGCCTTTCTGCTCAATGGTGATGGGGAAATTGTCAAGAATTTTCTACTTCACACATTGCAATTGCAGGTATGTTATGGCCTTAACAGCTCATTTAGATTTTCACTGCATACCTTTATTTGCTGTTCTTCTACAGATTAGTTTCTCCTTTAGAATGTTTGAAGTTTTGATCATGCTTTTGGAAATAAATGCCCTCATTTCAGATTTATAACTTTTAAAGACTTCTTTCTGTAAGCACTGCTAATTTACATAGTGTTTAGTCTGTTGAGATGATGCAGTTTAGTTTTGTTGCCACATAGTAAATGACAGATGATCCTGCCTATCTAATAATTGATAGTTCAACGGGTTTTAGGGATGGATTGTTTCTTCTATGTGAATAAATGAAAAGATAAGGCATCATATCTCTGGTTATCTTTGTTACTTTTCTCATTTTGAATTGTCTGGTGTTAGACGTCACTGCTGAAATGTCTAAATACTCCTAACTCTATAAACACATATCATTTTTTCATCATAACTCCTGGTAAGTGCCTTGCTAGCTTGTTTTGCTAACATATATCTCAAACTAAACATGTAACCAATGAGTAGGAGGGAAGGAGTATCATTTAAGGTGTTGTCAACAAAGGATGTTGATGAAGCTGTTATGGGGTTTAAGTTAATAGCTCTTGGCACACTTGTTCCTCTTTTAATATTTTGATTCAAATCAATTCGCCAGAGTTGGGAGAAAACTGTTGACTGCTACAGTCCAGGGCAAGGATTGATGCCAGCGAGCTTCAAAGTTAGAACTCTGCCTCTTGATGGAAGCAATGAAGCATTTGAAGAAGTTTTGGATCCTGATTTTGGTGAATCAGCTATTGGCCGTGTTGCACCTGTTGATTCGGGTAAGTTATTTGTTATCATGGAAGCTAGGGCATGGTTCTATTCCATGAAACTACACTGTCATTAATATGTTATCCTCTTTTCCCAGGAGAGTCTTACTATCTTTTTGCTTTTCAAAAAAAAAATTCACATCACTTCTTCTTTTTACATTCCAGCTTAAGGCCAAAATCTTAAAGCTTATGTTGAATACTTTGTTAACAGGATTGTGGTGGATTATATTGTTGAGAGCATATGGGAAGCTAACCGGTGACTATGCATTGCAAGAAAGAGTGGATGTCCAGACGGGCATAAGACTGATTCTTAAGTTGTGTCTAACAGATGGATTTGACATGTTTCCTTCTCTATTAGTCACTGACGGTTCCTGCATGATTGATAGAAGGATGGGTATTCATGGTCACCCTCTTGAGATCCAAGTAAGCTGTTTGCTCATTATCACTGTATATGTTAGGAAGTAGAAATCATCTAGTATTATGCCCTTTAATGGATTGGTGCTAAAAGGGGAATTCTTTCATGGGATAATATGCTTTCCTGCTCTGTATTTGGAGCAGCATCTTCTTCGCTCAGTTAGATTCCTTGTGCAAGAACAAGTGATGTCACTGTAATTCAAGAAAACTTGTGAGCCTTAGATTAAACTATGATCAGGAATTCTAAAACGTGTTATTTTTCTTTTACTCACTGTTGGAAAATGATTGACATTACTTTTTATATTAAAACTGGTTCACTGTTTTAGAGCTTTCACAATTGTGCATTACTGAATAGTTTCTGCTTACTAAAACATCTTTATACAATTAATTTTAAATTGGATTGGGTTAGGTTGTGGCATGGTGGACTGTCTGCCATAACCTTTTCCCCATGTCTCATGGGGAAAGTTTTGTCTGTGCATTCACAATTATTCTGTATTATGTTAGATGATTGATAAGTCAAAGGTGAATTGGGAATTGTTGGTTAGGCATCTTTGTTCAAAATTTAGATCAGAGATTCAGAATTTTGAACCATAGTTGTCTTTCCTCTTGCAATGATAATGCCATGTAACATGTAATACTTGTCTGGAAGAGACTTAGGATAATAACTAAAGCTAGTGACCTCCAAAATGGGTTAACTTTTTTATCATTGATTGAGTTCTATCCCTTGTTTCCTTTTTCTTACATGTTGGATCCTTCCTGTCTGAATACATCCCTCTTTGCTTATAAATTTCTCTTTGTGTGGTTTTGAATTGTACATTTGCAGGCATTATTTTACTCAGCTTTACGCTGCTCTCGCGAGATGCTGATAGTCAATGATGCAACTAAAAATTTGGTGGCTGCCATTAGTAATCGCCTGAGTGCACTCTCCTTTCATATGAGAGAGTATTATTGGGTTGATATGAAGAAGATTAATGAAATTTATCGCTACAAGACGGAAGAGTATTCTACTGATGCTGTCAACAAGTTTAACATCTATCCCGAGCAAATTCCTTCATGGCTAGTAGACTGGATCTCTGAGGAAGGTGGATACTTCATTGGCAATTTGCAACCTGCTCATATGGACTTCAGGTTTTTCACAGTTGGAAACCTTTGGGCCATTGTTTCTTCTTTAGGCACAACAAGACAGAACAAGGGCATTTTGAATTTAATAGATGCTAAATGGGATGATCTCATTGGTCAAATGCCCCTCAAGATATGTTATCCGGCGCTGGAGGGTGAGGAATGGCGTATAATCACTGGCTGTGACCCCAAGAACACGTAAGGCTCTTTAAAATTTCTTTTCCTTTTTGACATGGTTGTTATTTTAACTAAGAGTAATGCTACAGCGACAACCCTTTTTATACAAACTCAAAATTGTGTCATGCACACCATTGAAACAAACAGTCAATGATCCAATATCTTGACAGAGATAGTTGTGATATGTTGTATCACAAGGTTTTGGTTGTTACATTACTCTTTCTCAAAATATCTGTTTGCTATGTGCTCCCTTTCCTGCCATTGGAAGTTACGTACAATAATCATTTTCTGTAAACTGCTTGCAGCCCTTGGTCATATCACAACGGTGGATCTTGGCCGACACTTCTCTGGCAGGTGAGCTTGATATTTCTGTAGATAATTCATTATTTTTTTTTAGTAAATATCAAATGCCTTTGTTTTGAATTTATTGTTTAGACTGATAAAGCAATTGGAAGCCTATTATATATCTCCCTTTGCTGAAGAGGAAACGAACTCTATGTCATTGTTTTATTTCTATTTCTCTTTTTCAATTATGCTTACTTTGTCAAAATCCAAGAAGCAATGACTTCCTATTCAATTGGTCGCTTGAAGCCTTTGGATTTTCAAAGAGTAAGGCTCTTCTGTCTTAATGAACTGACACTTTTCGTCTTTAAACTTCAGTTCACGCTAGCCTGCATGAAGATGGGAAGGGTTGATTTGGCACAGAGGGCTGTGGATTTAGCAGAGAAAAGGCTTTCTGTGGATAAATGGCCAGAGTATTACGATACCAGAAATGGAAAATTTATAGGCAAGCAATCCCGGTTGATGCAGACATGGACAATTGCTGGTTTCCTGACCTCAAAGATGCTTTTAGAGAATCCAGAGAAGGCATCCTTGTTGTTTTGGGAGGAGGATTTTGAACTTCTTCAGAACTGTGTTTGCATGCTTAACAAAACTGGTAGAAGGAAGTGTTCCCGTTTTGCTGCAAGATCTCAGATTCTTGTTTAGTGACAATTAAGAATCTCTCCATACTATCTTCTTCAGTCTCTGGCTCGTGGCAACTGTTGGGGAGGAAACAGTGTTACCGTTTGTACTTTCAAAGTGTCCGAATTCATTAATGAATTGGTTGTCATGTTGTTTAGTGACAACGGCTAACTGTGTAACCTAGTTCCGTTGCATCATTAATTATGCGGTGTAACTCATTCCACGTAGATTCTACTTTAACTGCATCTGTTATGTCGCTTCACTCTGTATCAGATTTGAGCAGTATCCACATTAACTCTTTCATTTATTTATTTTGTTTAGTTTTTTTTTTTAGCTATCCATCTATATATTTATTTTTCAATTAGAAGTGATGTGTAACTGCATGCCCCTTTTGGTAATCGACGAACCGGGAGGGTTTCGGATAATTTATAAGTGTTAAGATTTCCATGTCTATTTTGTTTTTTTCTTTTTCAAAAAGAGTAACGTATCATGAATTATTTACACAGTAGTTTTGTATTAGATTTGTGATCTATCACATGCAATTAATTACGCCAAAACTTAAGTTGTTTCGTGCTGTTATAAATTAGTTGTTACCAAATAAGGAGGACGAGCAAACATTGACAAGATCTTAAGTAAAATCAGAAGGGAATTAATAAATCGTAAAATGTAAAATCGTATTGTAAAAAAATCGTTTGAAATATTAATAAAATCATTTTGATGAAAAAAAAAATCATAAAATCGTAATGATAAATCGAGATTTTAACAACAATGAATATTGGTAAAACTCACACGTTCGAAGTTGGAAAATAATCTTTTGCATACAAGGCCGTGTGATGTTAGGTTTTACCAAATAAAATTGCTGATCTCCCAGTATCTCTACATAGGTTGTTTTTATATACTTTGTTTAATGTTCATCAATTTGTTTTTAATTAATATAGGAATTTCTATTTTTATTTTTTTAAAATGTGCTTGTGAGAAGTGTGTGACAATATCTGTGCTCAAATAACATTAATAATGATTCATGAGGGATCTGTGTAGATGTTTACGTGTTCTCCTTCAAAGAAAGTTTGATACAATTAATTTTTGCAATCATGTAAAGACACTAAAAACAACGAATCGGAATACAGAGAAACTTCAAGAGAGAGAGAGAGAGAGAGAGAGTAATTGATGATTGAAGAACAGAAGTGCTAACTGAGTTTAGATGGTTGAACAGTAACTTTCATAGGCTTGTAAAGGGTATGAAAAAATAGTTGGCAGATTTAGGCAAGCATACCACCTCCGAAAGGACACCAAAACACAAAAGGGGAAGAAGGTTGACATTTTGGTATTGCAACAAAAACAACTTTTCACTGCTCATGAGCTGATTACTCTAATTCTTTGCAGTTTCTGAAAAGGTCAATGCGGCTGTCTCCAAGCCTCAGTGAATAGGTGGCTTTCTTATAGTCGGCCCAAGTGAATGGTCGGAAGAGTGAGGGCCTCTGTGGTGTAACCATAACTGGTGGAGCAACAATGCATGCATTTAGTGGTGGAGCCCCAAAATATGCCATTGACATTCTTGATTTGTATGAGTTCGTCATTGCCCTGTGTCTCACGCTCACAAATCTTCCATTTGTCATCACCTTACACAACACCACCCACTTAACCAATCAGTTTCTTTTTTAGTTCCAACTCTTCCACCAAAGTTTAACCGTGTAACTTGTCATCAACCCAACATTATATCTATATATAAATTCCTATTTTAGGAGAAAAATAAAACCGTCTCTACTCATTTTACAATTTATATACAAATATTATAGGATAATCCAATCATTAATAAGAGAATATTTTAATCCCAGCTTGTTAGCACATTTATTTATCTGATTAATTGATGCTGTTGAAATTCAATCCAATAGTGTGTGGTAAAAAAGCAGCGATTCCCATAAAGTATTGGTGCTAGCTTATAAAACAGGCCCCCCCCCTAGTCCCCCCCTACCCTTAAGCAAAATAAATCAAGGGTTGTGGGGTTTGAAAATAAAGCATTATAAATAGAGAGGGTAGGAATAGGCATAGGAACATACCTCAAGTACATCACCCACATTAACACAGAAAGCTGAGGGGTCAGGGTTGACTGGGATCCACACCCCATCTTGAAGAGAGATTTGGAGACCACCCACGTCGTTGGATCTAAGAATGGTCAAAATCTGAGGGTCAGAATGCTCCCCAAAGCCAACTTTGCTATAGTTGTAGGAATGAGACTTGTCCCTATCCTTGCAGTCTCGATTAAGTATAGGTGGGTAGTGATTGAGCCTCAAGACTGAGTCACTATCAATATCCCTTATCAACCTGCTGAAAACCATTGTATCAGGGACCCCCAGGCCCTCTGCCATTAGCACCAAAATTTCACATGCTAGCTCCCTCACTGCTTCTGTGTAAGCACTCACCGTAGAGCTGTCATGTGCAATCACACAGTAATATACTCAGAAACCTATAGCTATAACAGCTGGTAGTTTTGTTCAAAGCAAAAGCAAAAGCAAAAGCAATGCTATTGCTCAGAGAAGGAGGAAACATAACTAGTGTGTTTGTTTTGCAATACAAATATTTGGCAATTAAGGAAGCTAGCAATTATAAACACACAACACAAGACACTACTTTTACTAGAGCTAGCTGTGAAGTGCAGGTGAATCTTTTGAAGTAGCAGAGTGTGGTTTTTGAACTGAACTCACGCTCTGCCACTGCCACTACTTAATCTGGGTCTGACTCACTCACTGACTAGTCACTGCATTGCCTGCACCTGGCTCTTTTCTCTTCTTGCTTTGGATATTTCGTAAGGAAATTAATTACAACCTTTTTTTTAACACTTTTGGGAAATACTTTTTTTCTTTACTTATTAATTTAATTTCAGCTTTTACATTTGATTTGATTGAACATATTTCTGATATGTCAATCTGAAGCTTCAACCCTTTAACCAAAGGATTTTGTTATCCATACATTTATAATTAAATTCACACATTTTTTCTGGGCACTGTATTTCTCATTTACGATAGATAAAATTATTTTTTACACACATACATAAAATTATATAAAGTCACATAAATACATATGAAAAGAAAAGAAAAGGAAAATTACATAAAATCTGTATATTTTTATGAGTTTTATTATTCTTCTTCAACATAAGATAGGTATCTTATGTTGTAGAGATAAAATAGGTGGGTCCCACCATTACAAGAAAAAAGAAAAAAAAAAAGTGAGGTATGAAAATCGAAAGTGAGAGAGTAGGAGAAAGTAATCTTACGTAAAAGGAGAGTAATATTTCCCTATTTTTATATGTATAAAAAATAAAAATTATTTACTACAAAGTGAAATTACTTAAACCCTATTTTTATTGGGAAAAGTGTCTATCATTTAAAATTACACAACTTACATCATTTCACTCTCACAAAGAGGTGGGACCCACACTTTTATTTTTTTTTGTCAACTCTCTCTCCTCCTTAATCTATCTCTTTCTCTCTCTTAAAATGACACAACTTTACATCCTTTAAAATTATACACACTTTTCCCATTTTTATTACACTTATTTTCAAAAGTAACATTTCTCCTCTTCTATCCAGCAAAAACATTTATCTTGTCCAAACGGTATAATTTTTCTACCTTTCCTTCTCTGATTCTCTCTTTCTTTCTTTTATATAACCATAAATGAATTAATTCAACACACTAGTTCTGGCGGATGAGTGTTGACATGACCAGAACTTTCAGGAAAAGAGGTGAAGTATCTCTGACATACCATCCCCACCTCCTAGGAGTACCTCTCTCTCCCCCCCATAGTCCCATGTGCAACATACATGAATGTTTAAAAGCCCACGTTTCCTAAACTTTCTCCCATGTCTTTTATTTCTCTACTTAAGCTAAAAAATGATTTCATAAATAAGTTCAAATTTTGTGATGTTTGCAGGACATAAAATACATAAAAGTGTGTGTGTGTGTGTTTTATGTGTTTAGGAAAGGATGACAAAAATTAAACCCTCCATGAATATACCAAGAAAAGCCTTCGTTTCTCACTACTTAGCAAACTGATAAAGAACACATGTTGTTGCTACTATAAACGCTGAAATGCATTAGAAAACTTTTATTCTCGATTGACCATCAATATAGTAATCGAAGCTAAAGTCTGGCAAGGCATTTAAAAATTGAAGTGAATAAGACAATTGAAACTTATAAATTCAGTTCTTAATATAAGTCTTTAAATTAAAAAAATAAATGCTTTGCATATGATCGTTCGAATACCATTTTTGTACTACTCTCAACCAAAAGAAACATACAAGTCGTATAGTAAACAAATAAAAGTAAAAGAAAAACAGCAATATAAACATTTTCTAAGCCAATAAAATGAGATTACTGTTCACATTTCCCAACCCTAACATGTGGTTATCGTTAAAACTAGATTTGAAGTATGAATAGTACTTTTGAGGCAGATATCCAAATAATAATATTATTCCACGGATTTCATTATTAAGGTTTGAAAAAACAAATTAATAGAGCTATTGACAAGCTCAACTTGTAGCATATATAATGCAGATTGACTGCTTGCAATATATGCCATTGTTTAAAGAATGGTTGGCGGGGAAAACGTTGAAACTCTGAAGCATCATTCTGTCTCCGTTCTTTGCTGGTCATATACAACTCATAGGAAGGTGGTACCAAAATGAAACATTATAATAATTCATGGAACTGATATTGTAACCGGGTATATACATATATGCTGGCACTAACTTACTAGCATGGTCCATAACATAACAAAAAGAAATACCAAATATGTATGCATGAACTTGTCACAAAAAAAGCTATAATATTCAAAACCAAGAGCATGATGGTTCAGGGGCTTTTCTTGAACCAAAACATAAGATAATAAATGTTATAGTGTGTGGGATAATGCCAGATAGAAAAGTACTCATGAATGCTCATATATACCTGAAGTTTGATGGGTCAATATTGGATATGCTTTTGGATATCTGAGCAATGGATGGAGTTGTAGCATTGAGGAGAAGGTACTCGACCTCACCCATGTCTCCATTGAAGCCTATGTTCTTGCAGCCATAAACAGGTGCAGCCATTTTCTTTTGGGTACCTGGTTTTGCAAAGAAACTAAACCCTGCTTCTTCCATTTTGGCTATAGTTTCATGGCTGATACCATGGTTGATCACCTTGAAGAAACCATACTCTTCACACGCTTTCACAATGAGCTTTGTTACCTCTGACCTTTCAGCTGTAAGGTCTACTATGGGAAGATCAGTGGGTAAAATCCTTTCACTCCTGATTGGGTTTGGAGAAGCCAACACCATATCTAATCCTCTATGGAATTAAACACACAATAAAAGAGTGAAAGGGAACACAAGGTGTTGAAAATGGAAAACTCGGGTTGGTTCTTCTGAATCTTTTCTTGTTCCTTAACTAGTATAGAACTTGGAGCTAGACATGTTAATGAGTTGGTAAATGGTGGGTTATATATATGAGGAAAGAAAACTAGCTATAGAGAGAAAGACAGAGCGAGAGAGAGAAGGGTTGTGTGAAATATGAAGAAGAGAAGGAAGGTAGGGAAATATGATCTACAATAATGGGATATTTATACAGCAAGAATGTGAGAGAATCTACAGGAAGGAACGAGATTAAAAATATTAAAAAAATGTAAATAATAAAATCATGATAGTTAAAATTGTTGTCCCCACAGTTTTAAAAAAATTCACATTAGTCTATTAAAAAACTAAAATAGATTCATTTTATATTTCATACAAACAAGATGATTAATTTTTTATTTTAAAGAATTAAAATGAGAATTATATTTTTTTATTAAAGATCCAAAAAAAACTTTACTCTTATATATATAAATTTTAAAGAATATATAATATAATTTATAACAATTTATAAATATAACTTCTCCTTGGTAATCTAAGTAAAAAAAAAATTGTTGTTGTTTAATGGGGGATTGGTGAATTTATGTACTTTAATGAAGTACAACTATCAAAATTCTCACTGAAGAACGTTGACTGTTTGTATCATTTATTTTACACAAATTCTTCCTTTTTTGTTTACCTTTATTAACATCTTTTTGACTTACTTCGCTTTCCCTTGTCCTTCCTTCCTCACCTACTTTCACATGCCAAACGTTTTTCTATGGAGCGTGTTTATCTCGTAATAATAAAACCACAAGGAACCCAAATCCAGAAATATCCTCACTACTCCTATAACTAGGAACAAATACTCAACCTTTTTATAGATAAATATTTGGCTATCACTAGGCCAATTAGGCTCCGGTATCACTCTTAGGTGATCTAGTAAAAGCCTGTGACAGTAAATTTCATTTAATTCGTTACCAAATAATGTGAGTCCCAAATTTTCCAATAATGGAATGATATACTCCAAATACGGATAATTTGATTGATAAGAAATTGAATTTAATAAAATAAAGTGAAAAGCAGAAATAATTTAATAAATTTCTTCTAGAATCACTCACCCGTTTCTTCGATTCACATTAATTTGTTTACTTTTGTGCCTTCGAAACTATGCTTTTTATGGTCAGCCATATACTTACTTTAAACAGGCGTCTTCCCATTCCCACAGAATCGAAATCTAAGGGCGAGGTTAATTGGCTCTCACACACATATATATATATATATAAATATTTCTTGCCACTTTAAATAAGATTGTTTATAGCTATTTTTTTTAATTAAGTATGATCAGTCATGTGTTAAAATTGTATTTTTTTCTCTCTGTCACATCAGGCAGTGTATGAGTCAAGATAAAAAAAAAAGAACAGTTTTATTGTTTTAATTAAGTATGATCGGTCATACTTAGTTAAAAAAGTAGCTGTAGATAACCTTATCTTAAGTAGCTGTAGAAATAATTTTCTTATATGAGAAAATTTTCCACACGTCCCTATCAGATTCAAGTGGCAGTGAGTAGTTAGTGACTAGTGAGTACTCACATCTCTTTTAAAGGATCACGATACCATTTTTGAAATTGAAATATCACATCTCGAAAAATACTTCGATGGTTGGTTTATACTTCGTTTTCTTCATTACCCAATTTGGGCCCAAATCTGTAAAGCGTATGCGCCTTTTCAGATGCAATCTTAGCATTTGTGATTCTTACACTTGGAATATTTCTCTCATGGACTTGCCATGTGAAAGTAATGTGACCATGATAGTGAAATATGCAAAGGCCCCATTTCCAAGCAATCTTATACAAGTACACAGTCATTATGTCAATGCTCTGAATTTCTTCTGGAATTACTCTTCTTGATTAATGTCAATGTATCAACATTTTCTATGATGAGTAAACGATTACAACGATGGAAGATGATAAACTTCATTCTCTTTGACTTATAGTAGTGTCCGATTGTATAAAATTAAAAATTATGTCACATATGTATAGAGCATTGATGTGATACTTCATAAAACAATAAATAAATCGGATCAATAAAAATAAATTATATGTTCTTAGGATATACGTTCATTTTATTCTATAAATACATAAAAAGTAACAATATAGTTTTCTAAAAAAATTGATGTTAACTTATTTTCTCAATCACAAAAAATGACATTAATATAATTCATAAATAAAAAGCTCCATGAAAATATTGTTACCATTCACATACAAAAAGACAATTTAATATCTTTTTTCATAAATTAAAGACTAAATATCAACTTTTTAAAGGAACCAAAAGAGTATCACACTCATGTTAGGCGACAGCTTAGGCCAAAATAGGAGAGATTATCATCCACGTGTTAATAGACCTAAACAACAGTCTATGTTAAGTGAGTTTGACATCAAATCTTAATTCAAAACCCATTTATTCATTTGACATCAAATCTGTATTAGATTTATGATTTCTTTTACCTATATATTTTATACTTAACCCATTCATTTCAAATGTGAAATCTTATCACTCATATTTGAAATCGTAGTAGTTTTCAATTAAAAAGTAAATACTCAACCCAACTAATTACGTGACTGATTCAATATCTCATTATCCCTCGGGTGTGAATTCTATAATCTATCATCCCGACCTCAAAGGAAAGATTTTTCAAGTATTCACGAAATTGTCATTGAAAAGTGAGCTCATTAGCACCAGAGGAGTATTCTCGATCAGCAACTTAATATTACGAGATAAATTAAGTGTTTATGTAAAGAACTTTGGGATACACCATCCCAAAAGCTAGCTCAAAGGGTGGGAGTGCCTAAGGTCTTATAAAGACCATACAACTGATGTGAGACTATATATCTCAATACGCTCCCTCACACGAGGGCCCACTGGTTTTGAAGAGTAGACAATGCACAGGCTCACCTGTGCGAACAAAGAAATTCCACTTGAAAGAAAGTGGAGGGCGGCGAGGATCGAACGACTCTGATACCATGTAAAGAATCTTGGGATACACCACCCCAAAAGCTAGCTCAAAGAGTGAGAGTGCCCAAGATCTTATAAACTCCACATTAGTTGCACATACAACCAATGTAAGAGACTATATATCTCAAGAGTTTACTAAAGAGTCATACATTTCAAATTTTAAAAGATGTGGTGAATGAAACTGCGGTGTACAGTTAGGTTTATCGAAAAGAACAATGATTGACCAACTTTTGGATTTTAAAATACATTGCAACTACACTATAAAGCTAATTATATTAATTAGGAGCACCTAATCTCCATCCAAGACTTAACATACCTTGCTTCGGCGTATTTTATTTTAATTTGTTGGTTGACTGTTTAAGTGGTAGGTTAGATTTTCCCCATGCAGTAGATTTTCCCATACTTCAATGCCAAATGCTATTGGGATACCAAAGACAAAGACACTTGGAATAAGCTAAACTATTTCCCCAACATCGGAGAGAAAGTTCCTCCTAAATTCCACCATTCCACATTCATGTTCGTGGGTCTAAACTTGGAGCCAATGTACTGTTTATCTTAGTTTATTTGATGGGGTAGTGTCACATTGTAGTTTCAACTTTCAATTCAACACCCCATGGTTCTTTTTTATAAAGAAATGGTTTATTTGTATTGGAGTTGAGGTCTTTGTTCACGAGTTTACTGCTGGTCAATTAGTGAGGGTTTGGTAACAGGGGTCCAGACCGAGTCCCTCTTTGCCTATCAATTATTTTATTTTATTTTCTGTATAAACTACAAGTATTTTCTATAGAAGGTAATTTTGTTCAAGCCAAAAACATCTACTTTTCATGGTAGAGCTAGCTCTCTCAAAGAATATTTTTTGTATTCAGAGGGACTTAAACCCAAGATTTTTTTTAAGCGGAATCAATCAAGTATATACAACTTGAACCAATTCATATCTGACCGAATTATTATATCACACAATAACTGGCCATCTAAAGCGATAGTACATACATATATAATGGATCATTGGATATATGAGTTTTTTTTTTTATAATACTATTATTTCACATTATTTTCATAAAACAAGAAACATCCATTTTTTTTTTTAAAAAAAAATTCTTCCAAAACTGAGATATAACAAAAATGTATAAAAAAAAAATGTGTGCAATATTTATTTTCATTTTTACAAACACTACCGTTTGTCATCAACTACTTAATGAATAAAAAAATCTAAGAAGAAATAATAATAACAAAAAAAAAACTTAAAAAATGACCCGCTTTTATTTCTTCTTTCCTTAACCCTTCAGATAGGCATGATAATTTTATGGAGTCATAAAGTCACGTTATTATCACATCGGATTGGTATTCAATCTTACAAATGGATCAAAAGTAAAATAAATTAAGTAATGATTTAATTAACTTTGTGGAGAAAATAAAAACAAAGGAAAATAAAATTTGTCTCATGTTACCAAAAAAAAAATGTTAAGACATGTTTCTCCTTTACATAAACAAAGATATGACAAAATTGTAATCCTCTGAAGTTTTCTAAACTACATTCTATAAGAAGGAATGGAAACGAAACGTTTGAGATCAAAATATTTGCTATGAAAAAAAAAAAATGCTCACACGAACAAATTATACGAAAAATGTGTACGGATGACCTGTATTTTTGTTTTATTATTCTTTCGCTGAAGTACTTGTTTTTAAATTTATTAAAAAAAATCAAAATGTGTTCATTAAACCAATTATGTATAAATAAAGGATTCATTTTTTCTCATGTTGGAGTAATTTAGAATTCTCCTGCAAACTATGTATTCTGGATAATACATAGTTATAATATAAGAAAAAATAACTTTTAATATTATAATTATATACTCCAGTCAGTACATAGTTTGCATGAGAACTTCAAATTCCTACAATATAAGAGCCTATTATCCCATAGATAGAAGCTTAAGAAAGTTTGTCATGTTTTGATATATATTTATTTATTTTTCAACATTTTTTTATAATTAAAGATGTTAGTCCTAATACGATAACTATGAATCTGGATACAGGTTCTCGAAAAGCCCACAAAAGTTCTGAAGTCCATTATATAAATAAGAGGTAAAGCCTACAGATATGGAAGTCCCTTTTCTCAATTAAAACCAATTACTAAGTCTAATAACCAATTATGATTAGAGAAAAATGTTTAAAAGTAAATAAATATATAACAAAACATGACAAACTTTTTAGGCTTTTATTTATAGGATTAGTGTTTTTCATCTCCGAGAAATATTTCTATAGTTCAAGCCCATAAAATTTATAAATGCTCTCTCTCACACGTAGAGGAAAAAAAGAAAAAACAGGGATAAGATGATAAAAAAAAAAATTTAATTGTGAGTGGACCAGAAAAAAAATTACATATGCCAGGATCATGTAAAACTTTTCCCTCATCTCCTACTTATTTTCTCCACAAAGTTAATTAAATCATCCACAAAGTTAATTAAATCATTACTTAATTTATTTTACTTTTAATCCATTCGTAAGATTGAATCCCTATCCGGTCTGATAATAATTAACTTGACTTTATGACTTCATAAAATTTGCATGTCTTTCTGAAGGGTCAAAGAAAGCAGAAATAATTTACCAAAAAAAGAAAAAGAAAGAAAGCACAAATAAAAAGCGGGTCATTTTTTATTATTATTTTTTCTTTTGTTGAAACTCGTTTTGTTGGTGATTTGACGTAATTCTCCAGAGAGTCTTCAACAACAAAAAAAGGTAAATAAGGTGAGATGTACTTACAAGATATTTCGGTGCTAGTAAGATTTTATGCAAATAGATTTAACGGGGAGTTTGATACACGGTATTTTTCAGGATTTTTAAAAAATTAATTTTTTTTAAATTTTTAATTTTCAGAAATTATCGTAAACTAAATGTAAAAATTATATTTCTAAAAATCGAAATTCTCGGATAAATTTTTTTTTTCTCTACCAAACGTCTCCTGAGTGTTAAGGAGAAGAAATGCACATTGTGTTTAGAACAAATATCTATAATGGGGGATGACCAATTTTAAAGATGTTCCTAATTGTTCCCTGCAATGCAATTGGTGAGATAAAAAAATGTTCCCATTGATTGTTGTGTAGGTGGCTTGAGATGAGTTTTAGGAAGAAAAAAAAAATCTGCAATTATAGTTAATTTGGGCCCTTTAATATTCTCTCTTTACGGTGAAGGGTTTTGTTTTTTCAGTGGTAAAGGCTTTATGTATGGCTTTAATATATTAGTAATGAACACTAATCAAACTCATTCAATTTATCAAATTGTGTATATTGATTTCTTATATCGAGTAACGCATGTGTGCAAGGAATTTTTTTTTTATATACATTGTGTACAAGGAATTAAGTAACACAATTATAATAAGTTTAAGAAATTAAAATATAAGTTATGAATCACTAAAGATTTTGTAAAACTGACCTATTATTCGGAAGGGATTAGTTATTTGCATTTTAGACACAAATCTGATATTGAGATCCATGGAAATTTATTGTTATACATTATGCTTTGAAATTCGTTTGCAAATAAACTACGAGTAATTTTTTTTATCATTTTAATGTGTAAATTTATTATTTAAAACATAAAATTTTAACCTATAAAATAAACTAATATTCAAAAATAAGCCATGTATAAAACCCGAACAATTTCATAATTCAATTGTCAAACATAGATTGACATCATACGCATGTTCAATAACGTAAAACCGCAACCATGAATATAATTACCAATAATCATCGTAGTTAATCTCCTTCTAATTGTTATCATTATGTCCCCTAATTGATTGTGTAAGATTTCAACCACACTTTTACCAGGATCTTCGCAATTAAAAAAGTTAAACATTACTATCTAACACATATAATAACGTGTGGAAAGGCATAATAGCATGGTTTTTTAATAATATTATTTAATTTGTAATATGGGTTTTATAAGAGTTATGTTGTAGGAAAAGTGATTGTGTTATGTTATAGAGATTCGTTTTGCGTGCCGAAGTTTTTTTTTTTTTTTGCTGCGGGCCCCACAAAATGTTGTGTGTGTAGGAAAATTTTTGTGGTCACGTTAAATGATAGATGATAAACCCTTGTAATATATTATACAAGTGATTAGTCAGTCGAAAACTTTGAAATACATTACGAAGCTGTGATAGAAGATATTAAAATTATTTGACAGTAATTAATGTCTGTTTCTCAGTGACTTGTAGTTTACGTAAGAGAAATCGCCTCCTCTCAATATTATTTTTACAAGCTTTATCATTATTAAGGACTTATTTGTTTTATCATTAAAATTAAAATAATCCTAAAATTTTTAATTCATCGGTCTACTCATAATCAATCAATATTTTATTATTTTATTAAAAGTTAATAAAATTTTCACGGAGAGACATCGTGACTAAAGATGGTAATTCTTCAGTTTTATATATTAAACAATCGACGGATTAAATTCATTTAAGGAGACTAAAGTTAATGCCCCTCGAGTATTTTTTTTTTTATTTCCATAAAAATCACGCCTTGTCAAAAAAATTCATTTGACATTAGGTCAAAAGGATGGCCATATTGCTTCACTATCAAAAAATTCATTTTTTTTTTTTTTTGATAACAAAAAAAAAAAAAAAAAAATTCATTTTTAACATTCATACTAACAGGTTATCAAAAAAAAAAAACTCCAAATAACCCAAGTGCGAATCAGCATCGTCAAACAAATCATGAAGCTCTGTCAAACATTCTTCTCTTTTTAATTAGGGATATTTTTGACATTTCAAATATAATTTGTAATTTTTTGAGTAAGGGTAACATTGATATTTTAAATAATAAGGACATTTTAGACATTCGAGAGGCTAAATGATGTATTCTGTAACCACGGTGGGTCTAAGTGATTAATTTGAAACCACAAGGGGCTAAATGATAATTGTTGTAACCACAGTGGGTGAAAGTGAAGTTTTCCCATAAAAAAAGAAGAAGCTAAAAGCTCCTAAAAGTAGTGTTTTAAAACTCCGTTCCACTTTGGGTCGATCCCAAAGTGTCACTGACCCTCTTTCTCTGAGTTAGGGTCAACAGTTAAACTCTACATGCACATTAATCTCTCTGATTCCCGAAACCCCCGATTGAATCCGTGACTCCTGAGTTAGTAGGGGAAATTGTATTTTTTTTTTTAAAATTTCTCAGGAAAAGACGACGTCATTTGATGTGTAAAAAAAAAAAAAACTCATTGTTTCCTAAATCTAAAATTAGATCTGAAATCTAAATTATTATTTTTTTTTTTTTTCAATCTTCTCTCTCAGACCAGACCTAGTCTCCCTGATTCAGTTATCTTCTCTGTTATGGTGGTGATTCTTCCTATCTTCGGTCTTCTTTCTCCCTCTTCTTCGACGTGCTGGTTCTTCTCCCTCCATTATTGATTCATCACGCCATCGCCTTTGCTCCGCCGTTCTGAACAAGTGCTTCCTCTATTTTAATTAATGTCTTTCTTTAATAATGTCTTTCTTCGAGTTTTGTGTTTGCTTTATAAGCATTTCATTGTTTACAGCAGGTTGTTTAATCCAACAAGGTATCTCAGTAGTTTAGTTGGCCAAGGAAAAACTCTTCCTCCTCCAGCTCCGCCAATGTTTTTGTTGCCCTTTTACTCATTTAACTTTTAATCTTTACTTAGCGTAATCACTTTACTACAGAAGTAACACACGAGACCTATTCCTGCTAGTTACACGAAATTAGGGTGTAAGATTGAATGAAATGGTTTTCGAACTGCTAGTGGACTTTACACAGAACAAGCAAGCTACAAGTTTTGTAGATTTTTGTTACTACCACTGTCGTATAACAATTAGATATGAGTACATTAAGCATTAGTAGCAGATGGGACTTAAAATTAATCCTTTTGGCGTTTGGGAAGGGGAAATGATACTCTTTGATGGGGATTCGGTTGCATACCTATCTTCTCTTCCTGAGTTGGGTTGGGATTGGCAGCTTCTTCATCCTCTGTTTCTTCCAAAGGTTCAGCAGGCCTTTTGTTTGGAATTGCAAACTGGTAGTTGGGACTGATTAACGTGTCCTGATCCGGTGGAAGAGGAACACCAGGCCCAGCTATAGTCTTTGGCAATGGTATCTTGTTGCGGTTTTGAGCCAACTCCAAAAGCACCTGGCAAGCGATTACACTCAACATGTTATCTTTCCCGATATGATATTATTGCTTATTAGAAAAGAACAGATGTTAGAAAAGAAAAGATGGCATTGGGTCACCAAAGAGACAGGGATCCTTTCAAAGGAAGCAAATATTTTCCTATTGCAGCTCATGATATGGTAACTAACAAAATGGATTACAGCCATAGATTTCTACTTTCAAGATAAATGTGACTTTAAGTGATAATACTGTCCAACTAAATCGCACTCTCAGCTATAATTCCCAAGCAACTGACAATTAAAAATTAATGCAAGATTAATTTCTGCAAACTTGAAGTAAAACTGCAATGGGCGGTGACCTAGAAAGTTAGAGCCACAGGATCCAAAAGAAGACAACAAGAATAATTTAAAAATCAAATTCATTGTTAAAAACTATGTAGCACGGGTGTTGGTACCTTTATTGTATCTCAAGTTACAGAATTTAACAAATTTAAGATTTCATGTTTGTTTCAATGTTATCTTTGAGGAAATAAATGCTTCTTTTTTTAAAAAAAAAAAAATTTCTATTAGGAAGCTGCAAAAAGAAAAAGTAATTATTTTCCCAAAATAAACTAATTCAAACATTCACTAAGTCGTTTGGTGGATTTACACAAGTTGCAGTATAGTCCTGACTTCACAGACAAAAAAGCCAAACTTTTTCATACTAGCTTGGCACTTTCAAATTTCACCAAGTTGCTTCAAACTATCAATACAAATCAAACAATATATGTTTGGTTTTTAACCACAGACAAGGTAGAAAATAGAAGGATTGGGGAAAAGGAATGTATACATTTTCTATTAGAAAAACTTGCAACCAGTCTAAATTCATCAATAAAGAATATAATATCCAATTTTATTTTTCTTTTTGACATTAAACAAAATTTATACTGGACAAGAAGAATTATTAATATTACCTCTCGTGGGGGTGGTTGCGAGAAGCTGAAATTAACCTTGGATTGAATAGCAAGCTTAACATCATCACAGTCGATTGCAGACTTGCCTGCATGTTCTGAATACACTTGGGCATCCGTTAATACATCAACAACATAGCGATACCATAACTCTAGAAACTTGTGTATAACACAAGGTTCATAGTCGTCCACGCCCATCGATTTCAACAAAGTCTTCACAATCCTTGCATCCCTTGGCATTGCCAACTCTTCGTCTTTATCTGCCATAGCTGTCCACTGCACCGAGGAGAAAGAAAAAGATTATACTGTTGATTTGAAACAAATAGGTGGCTATATTTTACATTGAGAAATTTCAATGGTGCTGAAAGTTAGAGGAGGCAAATCCCACCCCGCCCAGCCCAGCTTACGAAAGTGGTTTTATGGCGGATTGGCGGGTGAACGCGCCTATAGAATAAAAATAATAAAATCAATAGTAAATGAACTTAGTTGAAACGGTTCGGTTCGGAGGTGGTTCAGTTCGGTGGGAAACGGTTTGGTTCAAAATTGGTTCGAAACCGGTTCGGGTCGACCCTTTTTTGAAAAGAAAAAAAATTAAAATTTTTAAAAAAAAGTTATAAATATCAATTTGGTTCGGTTCGAAAACGGTTCGATTCGATTCAAAAACTGTTCGGTTTTTAAACTGGTTCTAAAAACCGGTTCGGTTCATGAACTGGTTCTTTAAAAATCAGTTCGGTTCATGAAATGATTTTTAAAAACCGATTATTTTAAGGGGAGGGGCGGTTCGGTTCATGGTTCAGTTCAGTTTTTTGGTTATTTTGCACACCACTGATGACACAACGCTACTACATGGAGTCAAAAAACACTTGTATCCAACAGCAATATGTAAATACTACAATGCACAGGAAGATTAAAAAGATGGACATTTAATAAACAAAATAGGTGTCATTGTTGCACCAGACAAAATTTGTAGACCTACAGTAAGGACAAGTTAGTTAGGTTCTTTCTGATTAAGGACTCTCAAGCCATTAATTTCTTTTCATTCCCAAATATGCTTCTTTTCATATGAATGCTGGAAGTACGGGTGTGCGTGGGTCGATCCGAACCCTTTTAACCTTTCTCTCAATTTTATAACACGCAAAAATACAAAAGAGAAAGGAAAACGAAAAGAACAAAGGGTCGCGGGGGAAAGGGAAATAGAAGGACATTGAGGCAAATGGTAATTAAAAACGCGATGCATTGCCAATCACCAGAATCGTCAGACAAGAAAAAATCAGATCTAATAGAAGATAAGAATAGTGACAGACCTGGGCCTTGTCGACGGTGAGAGGAAGCGGCCGTCGGCGTCGAGACCGGCGATGGGGACGCCGATTTTGCTTTGGGGGTTGGGCCTGCTAGGGTTTTGGTAACTAATTATGTTTTGGTAAGTCAAAAAATCCGAAGGAGACGGTGGGGATTCAGATTGAAAGAATGACAAGGCAAAGGGTATTGAATCCTGACGCTTGATCCACCCGCATATAAATAAAAAATTCTTAAAAATTTGCTATATGGGCCCACAATGCCAAACTAGGCAAAAACGAACTAACCCATTTTATGATTTTGTTAAAATGGGCTCGTACCAGCCCTTGATTCATGGCTCCAAATAAAATAAAATAAAAGAAAATGAAAATAAATAAATAATAGGTCCAATACACCACAGCAAAGATAGCGCGACGGTTAATCACATTAAGATAGACAAAAAAACATGATGTATTTTTATATATCTAATCCTTTTTCTTTTCTTTTTTTTTGATACAAAAAAAGGGAATGAAAAAGACTAATCCTATTTATATATAACTTCATAGAATTTTTCTCCTCCACTTGCTTATTCTACTTTTTTAAGAAATTGATATTGCAAATATCTTTATTATAAATTGAATCTAAAGTAACAGACTCACACACGTCACATTAGTAACCTTTATCTTACTTGCTTCTACTTTTTAAGTAAGTGGAATTATAGAATATCTTAATATACCAAATGATGTTAGTTGCATAAGAGTTGAGCAAAGTTTTAACTCTGGATCTGCACCAAATTTTGGATTATTCCGTAAAAAGCCTATAGGATTATTAGGGGTATAATTAAAAAAAAAAATCTTAATATAAATTGAATCAAAACCAAATCCATTAAAAAAAGAAAGTAAAGTTAGTCGTTTGAGAATTATTATGGAAATGAAAACTAAGGAGAGAATGTCGATTAGCGGGTTAGCGCGCCACATGGATAGAGCTCTCATTATCATATACATGAGAGTGACCGTCAGGAAGATCAGAAAACGCCGGTGAAGGAAGCGTTTTGCGTGTTAAATTAAGTTAGTTAGTGGAGATTGCGTGCACTGAACTGAAACTGTTGAACTCTGTTGTTGTAGTTGTAGCTTGGTGGTACTTAAAAGAGTTAGTTAGCGGGAACACTTACGCTCACTCTTGCCTACTTCACTTGCCCTTGCGATGACGGTGGTCTCACTCTTCCTCACCGCCACGAAACTCGCCGGAGCTGTGGTGACTCTCACCGTCGCCGCCAATGCCTTCTCATTCTCTCGTTTCCGCAACAAGAACCTTCGCCCTTTCCGCTCCCCTATCGATGAATCCTCTGACACTCTCGCCCTCTTCAACATTACCGGTACGCTAATTAACAATTAAACACACACACTCTCTCTCTCTCTCATTCAACATTCACAATCATTCTTGTTAATTGCTCTTTTCTCTCTCTCGATAACGACCTAGTAATGGTATGATTGATTGGACGATCGCTATCAAGTTTCGCAATTAACTTTAATTCTTTATTGTGTTAGCAAGCATGCAGTTGAGGATTTATTATTATATTTTGCAGAAGGAGAAAATGGGTTTTTCTTTGGTCTGGCTACAGCACCAGCACATGTTGAGGACAGACTTAATGATGCTTGGATTCAGTTTGCTGAACAAAAGGCTGATGACTCAGAGGTCAAGCAGGGAGTGGATGCTTTGATGGGCTCTGCTGCTGGTGATGGTGGCTCTCAACAAGCTGCATCGTCTCCACAACAAGTTAACAAGGGCAAGAAGCCTCTTAAGGTTGCTATGGAGGCCATGATTAGAGGATTTGAGAAATACATGGAAGAAAAAGAAGAAGAAGAAGAAGAAGGGCAAGAAGGAGAAGAAGAACACCACCATAAAGTAACTGCTTGGCATAATGTTCCACACCCGTAAGACCTGAGATGTTTTTATTTTAATGTTAATTGAAGTAAGAGATGGATCTTTTAGACCTTTAGCGTATGTTACCCCCCTTTCCTTCCAAAAAAAAAATGGTAATTTTGTAGCTAAATAGAATTTTTTTTTTTTTCTAAATGCCTGGTTTTCAGGGAGGAGAGGTTAAGGTTTTGGTCTGATCCTGATATAGAACTAAAATTGGCCAAGGATACTGGTGTTACTGTTTTTCGCATGGGAATAGATTGGTCAAGAATCATGCCAGAGGAGCCAGTGAACAGCCTTAAAGAATCCGTAAGTCGGTTGCTTCCCTTTCATAATGATGACGAGTTATGGTTCCATTTATTGTTAAGCTTATAGTTATATTAATGATTAGCTTCTGAAATGGAGCTTTTGAATATGTTTTTCAATTCTCTTAAGTTTTATCTCGAACCTTATCGACCAATTCAACTGGCAAAGAGATTTTAGTTCTATAAATAAGTTACCTGTTGCTGTTTTGTAGGTTAACTACGCTGCGTTGGAGCGTTATAAGTGGATTATCAATAGGGTTCGATCATATGGAATGAAGGTGATGCTCACTCTTTTTCATCACTCACTTCCTCCCTGGGCGGGTGAGTATGGAGGTTGGAAGCTGGAAAAGACAGTGGATTATTTCATGGAATTTACCAGGTTAGTTTTTCCTTTAGTGACTGTTATCTGCATGCTATTATTAATTTATTACTCTACCTGCTTTGGATGACTCTTTAAGTTTGAAGTGAGATTAATTGCTACCCTGTGCCAGCCTATTTGTGAGCTATAAATGAATGAAGTGTATACATTACATCTGATGAATATTTATTTTCTTGGCCATGTTGGGTGCGTACTGTTTACTCGAGGACACTAATAACAGTAAGAAGATAAAAATAATTTGAACCTTATGTGTGGATCCTTTTCCCATTATCATGGATTTTTGCCAAACAGCAGTTCATTTATTGTACTGGAAGAGTCTTTGTTCCCTTGTAGAGTGGTATGTTAACCTGGCATGGCATACCCATTTCCCTTATTATGGGCTTTTCTGACTAGTCAACAAAACAAACAAATACTTCATTCAATGATGTAAACGGAGTAATATTGTTTAAAACAGGATTGAGTTCTATGAATATTTCAGTAGGATAGCTGCAATTTGCTAGCGCAGATTAAGCAATATGAAGTTTATAATCACATAGGATGGTGAAGCGTTATGCCTGGCTTATCTTAGTGGGTGCTGATATATCAGAAACATGTTGACTAAATAAAACTTTAGCTTCATTCTAAACAAATTAATGGAGCTACATGTTCATTGTGCTGGCCACCGTTACACTTCAGAGTTAAAATGTGATTTTTATTTTTTTTCTGTCAAAACAGCAATTAGACCATGCTAACTGCTATGAAAATCATTTGAAAGTTAAATGAAAATTCCTGTCTTCCTGTGTTGACTCCATTATGATATATAGTTCCTGAGAATTTCTGTGTCACATTTAACTATCCTTCTCTCTCCATACTGATATTTAGTAATTCCATGCGTGGCTATTTAAAACGTGTTGGGGAAATTTAGAGGTTGAAATTCTTCCTTCTATATATTATTTCCCTTTTCATGATTGTTATACATCTTGATGTTTAGTTCAAATTATTATCTAGTTTTATTTAGGTACTCATCTTATGACAGGATATTCGTGAGATTCTTTCTCATGTCCTCCCATTCCATGCAGGCTTGTTGTAAACAGTGTATCGGATTTAGTAGACTATTGGGTAACATTTAATGAGCCCCATGTCTTCTGTATGCTTACTTATTGTGCTGGAGCTTGGCCTGGTGGTCATCCTGATATGCTGGAGGTTGCTACATCTGCCCTTCCAACTGGTGTTTTCCAGCAGGCCATGCATTGGATGTCTATTGCACACTCAAAGGCATATGACTATATCCATGAACTAAGGTGTTTCTTTCTCAAAGAAGCTTCAGAATTTGTTGCAAGTTTATATTGGGTATATCTATCAGAGACTTACGGATTGAACTTAAACTTTGTTGTATATTCAACAATGCTCTATGATATTTATCCTCTTTTTTGGGGGTTATCTATATAGCTTTTGGCCATTAGCTTCATCTACGTCCATTCTCTGTTTGAGTCCTTGGCTGCCATATCTTTATAAGATAACCGGTTTTTTCTGCCTTCTCATTTAGCAGGCTAAACATTTGAAGTTGATCGCTTTACTTGGTTGCTTTTCTGATTACATGATAGTAATTGTCTGAACTATAATAACTTTTTGGCAGTAACTCATTAAATCCAATAGTCGGTGTAGCACATCATGTGTCATTTATGCGGCCCTATGGTCTGTTTGATGTTGCTGCTGTTTCACTGGCTAATTCATTGACTCTCTTCCCATATATCGATGGGATATCTGAAAAGCTGGACTTTATAGGCATAAACTACTATGGACAGGTTTGCTTTATTAACCTTGATAATTGCACTGTGTATATGATATCTGGCATATACTCACATGACAATTCTGACATTTATTTCAGGAAGTGGTTTCGGGTGCTGGCCTGAAGCTGGTGGAAAATGGTGAGTACAGTGAATCTGGTCGCGGGGTATATCCTGATGGCTTATACCGCATGTTGCTTCAGTTCCATGAAAGATACAAGCATCTAAATGTCCCCTTCATCATTACTGAAAATGGGGTTTCGGATGAGACAGATTTGATCCGCCGGCCATATATCTTGGAGCATTTGCTTGCTATTTATGCAGCTATGATCATGGTTTTGACTTTGAATTAAATTTTTATTTGCTTACAATTAAGTTGTTCTTTCATAAACACTAATTGCATATTAGACCTTCTTCTAATTGTTCTACAGGGTGTGCCTGTGCTTGGTTACTTGTTCTGGACTATTTCTGATAACTGGGAGTGGGCTGATGGATACGGTCCAAAGTTTGGGCTTGTAGCAGTTGACCGGGCAAATAATCTTGCACGGATCCCCCGCCCATCTTATCATCTATTTTCTAAAGTTCGAACTCCTTGTCTGCATTTGTTTGTCCATGAAGTTTGATTTGTCTAATCTTGGGTGACACTTTCAATGAGCTCTTCATTGCAGATTGTGAATACCGGTAAAGTTACACGTGAAGATCGCGAAGGAGCATGGGATGAACTTCAAAGAGCTGCTAAAGAGAAGAAAACAAGGCCATTTTATCGGGCTGTGGACAAACATGGTTTAATGTATGCAGGTAACTATTTACTCTTTTACTCTCGACTAAAAATCTGTCTCTATCGAATTAAAAGAAGAAAAGACTGATATTGTATTAATAAAGCTGAACCTAACTCTGAATTCAGCAAATCCAGTACATAGCAATGGAACGATGAAGAAAATTAATATGGAAAATGGAAAGAAAACAACAGAAAGTAAAGGTGTGACCTATACTAAGCCAGGACAAATTGGAGAGTGCCTTGATTCTCCCCAAGCCCAAATTAGTCCCAAGTTCTAGCCTGCCCTCTTGTCATTCCCTTCCCCTATTTATTCTTATTCTTTCCCTGCATTCCAGTGTTGCTTCTCACGTGTGACTCTACCTCCCTGCCACTAACAGAATTGCCTTTCACTCATATTTTCTTCTAAATGCCTTGTTGACTCAGCTTCTTCTAGAATATACCTTTAGAGATGGTATCCTAACAATAATGTTACGATCCCATTTGCCAGGTATGGGACTTGAAGTCCCACATTGATTGTATGAGCAACTAATGTGGGATTTATAAGGCCTTGGGCACTCCCACCCTTTGAGCTAGCTTTTAGGGTGGTGCATCCCTACTTTTTTTTTTTTTTTGAATCTCTTCCGATTTTAAATTTTTGTTTATTCAGTGGTCAGATTGTTTTTACAGTGAAATTTTATCTCAATAACTTAGTCATTTGAATTTATGGTAATTATACCAGCACATTGATGAAATTTTCGCCAAGGACTGTTCGCCTTGCAAGTTAAATGATTAATATAGGGAAAAACTTATTTATCTTCCATAAGTGATATGAACAAAGCTTCAAATCTTGCTTTGCTGTCCTAAAAATATATAGACTAAAGCTTGGTAAGATCTGACCTTGTTAATACAATTGATAGCAGCTACCTGTCAACGAAAAAACATTAGTTAGTGCCTTGTACAGCAGTTACATAATTAGTTATATTTTACTCAAGACCAAAACAATTACAATTACAATGGATTATGAACCAAACCAACCATAGTTATTCAAAATTCCAGTTAAGATCTGTGACAATTAGAATTAGAAGTCAGAGACTGTGCAACTAATACTGTCTTGATTGTTTGGGGATGAGTTTTAAACCTCAAGTAGTTTGCATAAGCTTATAACTAAGAAAGCTGAACCTGCTCTGCTTTAGTTGCAAAGCAGCGGCTTGTTGACCATTTTTCTCTTAGCCACCGAAATTAGAATACTGCTAGCCCTTACAGAACTTATGGAAGTTGTTTGGCTTCTCATTTCTCGAGTGCTTCCCTCTGAATTTGGGTTTGGTTCCTTTGGCAAAAGCTATAAGACCAGACAATTGGTGCTCGTGTTGCATAAATAAAAAATAGAAAAAAAAATGTTGGGCTCCATTTGAAACATTTAAAAGCTTATGTGCAGAGGTATGAACATGGTTAGACTTTTCTTATGGTGGTTATGTGGGTAAATGAATATAATAAAAGTCTTCTTGCTTCTCATGACAGGTGGACTTGATGAACCTATACAGCGACCTTATATTGAGCGAGATTGGCGGTTTGGTCATTATCAGATGGATGGTCTCCAGGATCCCTTGAGTCGCTTCTCAAGACTCATTATTCGACCATTCTCCCTAAAATGGAAAACTAAACCTCAAAAGAAGAATGCCAAATTAGTTCTTCAGCCACTTGAACTTAGCAATTGATAACTTACCTATTTCTCTTGTACCCAAATTCTTATATTTTTAGTGACGAGCACTATCAATATTCGACACAAGATACCCTGAATTCTAAGTTCCATTATGTCTGCAATATCGTAAGCTTATTTGTCTTGTAATTGGAAGCTTATTTGTCTCATTTTTTACCAAGAATATTCAAAGTGAGTATGTTGCCAAACTAATCAATGGACGGTAATATGGGATGCATTATAATACATTAGTTATCACATTTATATACCTTGTCTTTCCTGTTTGGCTGCAGTATTCAGATATTATATAATGCATAAATATATGAATCACAATAACTTTCGAGATGCTTTCACTTGTCTGTTTATCTTCGATGATTTCCAATCTACTTGTCGACTTGTCGTGATTGAATGTGTACAAAGGGGAAGAAATTCTAATTAGTTATGCGTTGATAAAAAAATATTTACTTTGATTCATCAAAATGATTACTTGTTCTATGATCGTAGCTTATCTGCTGCAATAAATTATAATAATTCTGTTGAAAATGGATTGTGAATAAGAAATTTCGCAGTGAGTTTGCATTGAAGATGGGAAGGGTATTACTTTTTTTTCCGTAGGTACAGATATCCAAAGCCAGTTTTTAAATAATTATTAGCTGTTTATTATATTTTATTATTTAATGGGCTTGTAAACATATATTGTGAAATTAATAGCTAATGTCTTTATCGACTTATTCTGTTGCACTGAATTATAATAGTTCTGTTAAAAATGTGATTATGAATAAGAAATATTGCAGTGAATTTGCATTGAAAGTGGAAGGGTATTATTTTTTTTCTTAGGTATAGATATCTGAAGCCAGCCTTTAAATAATTACTGGCTTTTTGTTATATTTAATGGACTTGCAAACATTTATTGTGAAATTTATAGCTAATGTCTTTAACAACTCGTTAAAGTACTTATTGGGTTCAACTCGCAAGAGAAAATATAAATCGGGTCAATCTCTTAAACAATCTCCGGGTTGTGTGCTTTCTCAATCTCGTTTTCTTGACGACAAATTGTTATCTGAACCTTGTATAACTTAAGACACTTAATTCAATAATTGGCATTCGTAAAAGTACTTTTTTTTAATGCAAGTGACACAACTTTACAAAATTTTAATATATATAACCTTACAAATTATTTGTACATATCTTGTTTATAATCTTAGCTATTTTACTTCTTGAATTTATACATTTTAAGTTTAACTTAAATTAATTATATATGCTTCATTTATAGTTTTAAATATTTCATCTTTTTTAACTTATGTTTTTAATATTTTACCTAAATTTACAAACACATATGCAATAAATACATGAAATACTACCTTTCAACTAATTTAGTTTACCTAAACACTTAAGCAATAAATACATGAAATACTACTTATCAACTAATTTAGTTTACCTAAATTTGTAGACACTTAAGCAATAAATACATGAAATACTACTTATCAACTAATTTAGATTACCTAAACTCACGGGATGCTTGCTACTTATCAATTAATTTATTTTACCAAACTTGACAGACTCCCTCTGTCATAAATGTTTCTGCTTTTAGAGGAGCTTTTCAGACACGAGAATAAATCCAAAGATGCAGTGACTTTTACATATGGATAAGGGACCACCACGATGACTGACAGAAGAATCAATGATGATAAACTTAGCCGGCGTAATATAATACGTATTTGAATCCGGAAATGTTTAAAAGTGGTTTGATTATATTGTTTAATCATAATTATTCATTGACAATGAAACAAGAGATACGTAATTTTTAAATAAGTGATTGTGATCAAATAATATGATCAAATGACTATTTTTAAACACGAGAGAGGATCCAAATCCGATACAATAGAAGCGAAATGCATCGTCTATAGTGCCTATTGTGGACTGCGGTCAACCCAACTCATGATAGTGGGGTTTTGTGTTTGGCATTTCTGACAATTCCAAGTTATCTCACAGCCACTGGATCGTTAGCACTATAAGAATAGTAAATGCAATGTTTGGGCCAAACATCTCGAATTTAGTAGCTTTAGACATGAATCTTTTTCTGTGTCTCCGGTCCCTATGTTTCTTTCTTTTAACTACTTCGTTCATTAAAGCATCAGAAATAAATGTGGAAAACTATGAATCTGATAGAATAATCCATCTTCCTGGCCAACCTTCAAACCCCTCAGTTTCACAATTTTCAGGTTATGTCACTGTCAATGAAGCCCATGGGAGGGCCCTTTTCTACTGGTTCTTTGAAGCTCAATCTGAACCGTCCAAGAAGCCTCTCCTTCTCTGGCTTAATGGAGGTCTGTGATTATTTCTTGATTAAAAGTTTACTACTGTTGTCAACCTTGTCAGATTTCAACCATTATTCTCATATTGTTATATAGTTTTCCTTATGATGTTATATAGAGATCCAGTTATATTGTTGATACCATTTCATTTCATCGGTTTGCTTCTTAAGGACCCGGATGCTCCTCCATTGGGTATGGTGCAGTTGTTGAGATAGGACCTCTACTAGTCAACAAAAATGGTGAAGGACTACATTTCAACAACTACTCCTGGAATCAAGGTTTATATATTCTTTCCAACTTTGGACTATGTAGTATGTTGTTGTTTGACTTTTTCATGTTATATCCAACTATTACTGTGCCAATAAATAATGTAAAAAAGAACAAAAACAAGGGAAGAGAGAATGGTCTGTTTTGCTTACTTGGAAAATTTGAAACCCCTGCAGAAGCAAATTTGTTATTTGTGGAGTCCCCTGTTGGAGTTGGTTTTTCTTACACTAACACATCCTCTGATCTCACCAAATTAGAGGATAATTTTGTGGGTGAGTTTCCTTTACAGAATATAAATTCGTCTGATTTTGTTGAATAATTAAAGTTACCATATTTGACAAACTACTTGATTTAGCTGAGGATGCTTACAATTTCTTGGTGAATTGGTTACAAAGATTCCCACAGTTCAAATCCCGGGACTTTTATATAGCAGGAGAAAGCTATGCTGGTTAGTGTTTTAACTTCAATTTTATTCCTCTGTGTCACACTAATAGCATAACCACATTGTCATTGTCCCTAATTTTCCAGGCCACTATATCCCTCAGCTTGCAGAGCTAGTCTTTGATCGAAACAAAGATAGAAGCAAATACCCCTTTATTAATTTTAAAGGTTTTATTGTAAGTAAATCCACCCTAACCGAAAAGAAAGGGAAAAAAATTAGGAGTACATTTATAAATGAATGTATATATATATGTTTATATCTGTAGGCAGGGAATCCAGAAACTGAAGATTACTATGACTATAAAGGCCTGCTAGAATATGCATGGAGCCATGCAGTTATATCAGACCAGCAATACGACAAAGCAAAACAAGTATGTGATTTTAAACAATTCAATTGGTCTAATGAATGCAATCAGGTCATGAACGAAGTCTTCCAAGATTACTCAGAAATTGACATATACAACATTTATGCCCCGGCTTGTCATCTGAATAGCACATCCTCAATGGCTAATGATATTAACAGTAACGGCCCTGAATCACTCACAAAGGTAGTTAATTAATGTCACAAATCTATAGATTCTTAATCACAATCACTAATTTCATATCAAGTGGTTTATGTTGAGGAAAAATTTGCCTCTTATTGCAGGTGAGAAATGATTATAGAATAAAGAGGATGAGAATTTTTGGGGGCTATGACCCGTGTTATTCCACATATGCACAAGAATATTTCAATAGGTTAGATGTTCAGTCATCTCTTCATGCAAATACTAAAAGAGCAAACACTAAATTTACATGGAACGTTTGCAAGTAAGTCCTAAAATTTGTTCCCTTCGTTGATCTTTTTTCCTACTTAATATTGAATTTTAACGTCAATCTGTGTCTCATTTCTCAGTAATTCCATATTGAGGACTTACAACTTCTCTGTTTTTTCGGTCCTACCTATCTACACCAAACTCATCAAGGGTGGACTTCAGATATGGATTTTCAGGTATTTCTTAATTATATTCCTTTTTTTAAGCAATAATGATAAATCACTTCTAAAAAGGGAAAAATAAATAAATAAATTGAAAATAGCTCTACATAGCCCCTGGACGAGTATTGGTTATTACTTTTATAATTAATTCATGTAGTTGTTTAACTTTATAAAGAATGTACAATGAATGACAAAAGAGAATTATTTGCTTTCGGTGAAAGGGTCACGTACTCATGTGCCCTGTATTGATGCTCTTTACCATGAATCCCTTTTTGAATCATCATTCTTATATCATGACTCGCATTTATTAGTTACTGTTTAATTTAATGTGTTTGTGGGACAGTGGAGATGCAGACGGCAGAGTACCTGTGATAGGGACACGATACTGCGTTGAGGCTCTTGGATTACCTCTCAAGTCTAGTTGGCGATCTTGGTACCATGATGATCAGGTTAATGTCCGTTAACCCCTTCAATTTTCCACACTTGAATGCAGAAAATTGTTTTCTAATAATTAAAAACATATTTTACTCTTAGAACTAATAATTTATCATCTTATAATTATGTAGGTTAATAAATATAACTTCGCTTGGCAAAGTAATTTTTTATGCAAATTATTGATCAAGCCAATATATACATACAAACATATACTAGCAAAATCAGTGAAATTCATCATACCAAAATACATATATACATGAACATACTTTTGTTTATGTACGTAGTATTCATCTATTTCTTGTATTTTACCCGAAAGTTACCTCCTGCAAACATAGAGAATGATAGATAAAAAAACATTTTATCTAAGCGGATGTGTTATATGAGATAACTTATTTTCATTTTGTACGAAAAACGTTAAACACTTCTTTATATATTGAGTTTGTAGAGATTGATAGAGAGTAAGTGAAAAAAATGCAGGTTGGGGGAAGGATAGTGGAGTATGAAGGGGTGACATATGTGACAGTGAGAGGAGCTGGTCACTTGGTGGCTCTCAACAAACCCAGTGAGGCTCTCTCCCTTATTCATTCTTTCCTAACCGGCGACCATCTCCCTACTCGTCGATAATGCTTTTGGTTACTGTTTTTCTCATAAGAATAAAAATCTATGTATGAGTACCTAATAAAAAAAAAAAAACAATGTCAACAACTTATGTATCCACGAATTATCAACATGTTAGTTTCTTATGATGGGCCCACACTGACTTGCATTTGGAAAGAAAAGCTGCATAGAGATAGATGGTGGAGAAAAACAACGGGGCCAATACCCTGAGTGCAAAAACAAAAATAATAAGGAATCCTTTCTCAAGAAAGAGGATGTGAATCATGTTCAGCAATAATGATATATGGCTGAAATTCAAGTATGTTGTTCTTGACTTCTTGTTACTAAGAAATATTTTTTTAAATACTTTTGTCTTTTTTGTAGATTAAATTAGATACTTTATTAGTGGGTATCATTGTATTGGTTTCCACCATCGCTAATGATTATGGTGTTTTGTTGATCATATTGGTATTGGAATATATATCCGTTACTTTTATAGTGTAATAATTTTTGAATCAGGTCCTGTGAATTTTTATTCTCTTTCTTTGGATGGAATTCAACATATAAATATAATCTAATACAAATTATCCAAACCTCTCATCAATAATGATTTTTTATTCTCTTGAAAGTAGTTTTTCATGTTAAATTTTATGGTATTCTATTAAAAATTTATTCTCCTCAGTATTGCCATTATTATTAAAATTAGCGTTGCTTAATTGTCTTTTTTTTAGATTCTTGTAAGAGAGGGACGAGTTTTTTAGGCACTAAATAATCTGTCAGATTGTTATGAAACCACCACACATGGTTTGTATCTTTATGCCTAGCTAGTTAAGAAGCTGTCGATCCCGGGCATTATAAATTTCAATGTTATTAAAATTGGCCTGGTTATTGGTTTACTGGATCATTGGTTTAACTAATGAGTCACTGATTTAACCGCATGAACCGGTAATTAGATGTAGTTTTTATAATTTATATTAAAATATTATAAACATACTTAGATATCTAAAAAAAATGATAAAAATTTCAAATATTTTAATATAAAAAATAATAAATCACATATTATTATTCAATAAAAGATCAAACAAAAATATAATGATCGTGATACGGGGCTTTAGGTTCAAAAAACTATATCTTTAACAATAAATCAAATCAATTTTTTTGCACAGTGCATAATTGAGATAATATTAGTGTTGTAGGTTCATAACTTATATAAGTCAATAAGCAAAAAAATATTCAAATACGTCCATTATGATTTTTTTTTTTGGGACCGGGCCGGGTCACCGGTTTTCATGAAAACCGACCAGGTCGGACCGGGTCACACCGGTTCTGATGCATGACCGGTCCGTTGCTTCAACCGGACCGGTTATATGACCGCTTTACCGGTTCCCGGGTCGGTCCAGGTTTCTTAACACTGATAAATTCAATAATTTGTTTAAAAAAATATAAATAAATAATCGTAAGACTTTTAATTAAAAACGGAAAAAATTCTGTAAAGAACCTTGTGATACACCACTCCAAAAGCTAGCTCAAAGGGTGAGAGTGTCCAAGGCCTTATAAAGGCCACATTAATTAATGTGGGACTATATATCTCAACACGCTCCCTCACACGAGAGCCCATTGGGCTTGAAGATTGGATGATGCAATAGGCCCAGCCTATCTGTGCTAGGAAATTTCACAAGAGAAAGTGGGAGGCGGCGAGGTTTGAACTCGGGACACGAGGCTCTGATACCATGTAAAGAACTTTGGGATACACCACCCCAAAAGCTAGCTCAAAGGGTGAGAGTGCCCAAGGCCTTATAAACTCCACATTAGTTGCTCACATAACCAATGTGGGATTATATATCTCAACAAATTCAAAAATCTCTCTATTGTTTTTCCTTAATCACTTACACACCTATGCTTTTTTTTAATTATTTATCCCCTATGGTTTCTTTCATTCAAACTCATCCTTAACACACTTAGAAATTAAGTTAATATGTCTATTTAACACTTATTAGAATAAGAAAATAGATTGAGGATAAAAAGAATAACAAAAAATAACAAATATGTTGAGAATTTATAACACTTATAGAAAAGGCTAAAAAATGTAAGTGATTCAAAGCAAAATCATAAGGAATTTTTGAACTTTTTTATTAAAAAACATTAATTTTACACGCATATTATCCTTGTTCACATGTTACAATTCAGGGGACTTGAAAAAAAAAATACAAATATTTGCTTCCAAGGATTTGCTTAGGTCAGGGATTCAAACTCTGTCTCAAGCAAATCCTTGAAAAATCTTTAGGGGCCAGAGAACGTGTCTCTGTCCTCGAAGGGGGATTAATCTCATCCTTCCTCCTATAGCAAAGCTCAATGCATCCGTTGTTTCAATGAGGGGTAGCCTTTGGGCCATACTCTGAGAACAAGGTGACCGGAGGAGGTTGAATGAGGATACCTCCAGGTTATACTAAAAAAATACAAAATGTATGAAATGTGTATATTTTGTCCTTAATATATAAAAGTGGATCATGCAGTTTACAAAAAAAAAAAAAAAAAAAAAAAAATTGGATCATGCAAGTACCCAAACCACATGTCCATTTAAACGGATTCTATATATAATGTAGGATATTTGATACTTAAAAGACCCTAGAAACTATTTTTACACTCAGAGGGCGTTTGATTGAGGCTTTTTAAATATTCTCCCATGCATTGGACTTTGGCAAAGTATGTAGTCCATATTTAGTAGAGAGATTTGAAATATTTCCCCAACTTTGATATTTGCATAACGTTTTAGAAATGCTTGTTAAAATTGAAGTCAAGTCACTGTTGAGAAAGACAACTTGGAAGTGATATTTTATATTTAACTGGATAAATGGCAACACAGATTCAAACTTTAGACAAATGTCCAACACAACTTTACACAACGGTAATTCACATTCAAAAACTTTAAAAATGGGGTATTTTAATATTTTTAATCAATTTTTCCATCAATATTCTACCTTCAACCAAATATACGTTTACAAAATTTAACCCAATTTCTCCGGTAATATTTCAGAGTACCAAATAACTTTTTTCAAACTTTCCTACTAAAATCAGTTTTCCATAATATTCCTAATAATTCTATTTTCTTCGTAAAGTTTTTTTCTCCCAAACCAAACGCCCCCATTTAAATAATCATCCAGGGTAATTATTGATTATTCAGCAGAGTTATTTAAATAACTACTTGAACGGTTAAAACTAGTTAGAATATATATTGTTTAGGTGGAAGATCTTCGCAAATTGATTTATGATATTATTTAGGGTTTATTTTTTCTGATGTTATTTTAGATAACTTTATCTAATGTTCATCAAAATGACGTCGTTTTGGGACGGAAATCATAGTATTTTTGTAATTTTAATTTATTTCAGGATTTTAATTGTCTTTATCACTCTAATTTTTTAATTTTTCAACCCAAAACGACGTCGTTTCGATGAACATTAGATAAAGTTATCTAAAGTAACATCAGAAACTTTTTTTCCCTATTATTATTTAACACATTTTACATAAATTAATGAGCATGCATCGAATTTTTTTTCTTTTTTATTTGAATAATATTAAATTAAAGTGATATAATTTGATTAAATTTGACAACGCGAGTCCCACATGATGACTTGTATCATTACCTCCTTTAGGTGCTCCTTTTTACTAATTGTGAAAAAAAATTAGGAACATAATAAAAATATAATTGAAAGAAATGAGAAGAGTGAACCTTTTTTTTTCCACATTTAGACAAAAACCATATGGTTACCACCGTAACTTTTCTCACTTTGATGATGACACATGTTATCATGATTCTTCTTAAGAACCTTGAGGTCACCACTCCAAAAGCTAGCTCAAAGGATGAGAGTGTCTAAGGTCTTATAAACCTCACATTAGTCGTTCATACAATCAATGTGAGACTATATTTCTCAACACGCCCCCTCACACGAGAGCTCACTGGGCTTGAAGGGTGGATAATATATAAGTCCACCTACATGTGGAAATTCCACTACAAAGTAAGTAGGAGGCGGTGAGATTTCGAACGCTCTGATACCAAGGGGGCGTGTTGAGAAATATAGTCTCACATTGGTTGTATGAGCAACTAATGTGAAGTTTATAAGACCTTGGTCACTCCCACCCCTTGAGCTAGCTTTTGGGGTGGTAACCTCAAGGTTCTTAATAGTTTTTTTGATGAGACTTGCACAATTAAATTATATTATTTTGGTAAGTAATTTTTAAATTTTATTAATTAGATGAAAAAAAATTTAAAAATATATTATATCAATAAATGTGCCCAAATAACAATTTATCATTAGGGGTTGGTACAGGAGAAATTTTTACGTGTCCGGGAATCTCGATTTTCAAAAATATGATTTTTGCATTCAGTTTACGATAATATTTGAAAATTTAAAATTTAAAAAAATTCAGTTTCCCGGAAATTCCTCAAAATTCCGCGTATCAAACGCCCCGTAAGTGTCACAAAGTGGAGCACATTTTGGGTGCAATGGGGATATGTATTTCCTTACCAAAAAGGAAAAAATAAGATATAAAAAATAATAATCATAAAAGTAAAAATAGTGTAAACATGTTATTTTTTTTTCATATTTAATAAAAAAATATCTAGTCATCATTATATCAGTAGTACTAAATATATTTTTGAACAAAGTGAAGCTACGCCATGCATTTATGGGCAAATACATGGTGATAAAGGTTTGGGTAGAAAAACAACCCCACACAAGTCACAACTAACGAGGTTGTGCTGCAAACCACTCAGCATCAAGCTAGCCTTCGAACGAATAAATGCAGCAAACAAAAATTATGCGCAAATAATCTAATATCTACGTCATTTTTAAATGAATAATTCCAAAGAGAATTACTCAGAGCGTGTGACTGTTGAATAAGGGACCCCACTGAGGTGTTTCTTTCAGGCCAATTTGGCAAGAAAAATTAAAATATTATTATTTTAATAAATAATTACGAATAAATTGCAGTTTGAATATTATTTTTGAATTTATTATAGTCATTCACGTCCAAATCAGGCGTGACTATTCACGCCCAAGTCAGGAGTGACTCCCAAGGTATTCACGCCTAAATTAGGCGTGACTCGTCTGGTGTTGACACGTGGCACAAAAGATTAATAGTTTAACCGTAAAAAATTATAAGGCCATAACTTTTGACTCGGGTATCCAAATGAGGTAATTCTTTTTTTATTTCACATAACTTTTCGAGATCTACGCCATGACATCTCATTTGATATATTTTACCTCTCACAAACACAATTCAAATTTGCAACAATAATATTATAAAGATGGCACCAAAGTGGATTAACTCATCTATAAATAAGATGACACCAAATTTCCTATTAAATACAAAACACAATCAGTTCCTATTAAATACAAAACGCAATTAGTTCATATTAAATACAAAACGTAATCAACTCCTATAACATTAAATTAAAAATTCAAATAACCTCCAGCAAATTTATTTGAATTGGCGACAATCTATAACCAACTCATAAAATTATAACGCAATCAGCTCCTATTAAATACAAAACACAATCAACTCTTATTAAATACAAAATGCAATCAACTTATTGGAGGTTATTTAAATTTTGAATTTAATGTTATATTACCATTATTGGGCTTGAATAAGTGCAAATAATTTCTTAATTAGGTTCAAAACGGCAACTTATTCGTTTTTATTATTAATAATACTTTTTTAAATTTTTTTTGGTAATACACTATATAATACAATTATTGCAAATTTGAATTGTGTTTGTGAGAGATAAAATATATCAAATGAGATTTCATTGCGCAGATCTCGAAAAGTTATGTGGAATCAAAAAATGAATTACCTCATTCGGATATCCGAGTCAAAAGTTACGGCTTTACAAAGTTTTACGGTTCGTAAGTTGACTTTTTTTTGTCACGTGTCAACACCAGATGATTGAGAGTCACGCCTAATTTGAGCATGAATAGTCACGCAAAATTTGGACGTGAATGAGTGCAAGATAGTTTCAAAATATTTATGTATTCGTAATTATTTATTAAAATAATAATATTTTATTTTAATTTTGCCAATTCAGTTATATATTATTCAGGAGCTATAATACATTCTCTTATATGAACTACAAAAATGAATAAAATAAATGTAAATTGGGGGGGAAGAAACCCAAACTCGTTGTGATTCACATTTCACCCGTCGCCAGTGTTACCTGCGCCTTCACCATGGCTAATGCCTAATGGCTTATCCCTCAAAATCGAAAGGTATGCATTTTCTTTCTTATTTATTTATTATTATTTGGGGGATGCAGAATTAATTTAGGGGTGGTTAAACTTAACACCAACACTTGTCAAAATCCTCAAGTTTTTCTCTCTCTCAGATTTAATTGTTTTGAGCATCTGTATCTTGTGACTTTAGATGATAAATTGGTATTCTCACGAAGAGTTTTTCTTCTACCATAATCTGAAACTTGAGATATCAATCCAATGATTACATGATATGGCGATTGAACTTCTTAGAACCAAGGATTGGCATCTCACTTTACTCGAGACCTGTTCATGGTTTTCACTTAATTTAAAGTTGTTTGTGTAGTTGTGTTTCAAGGAATTTTTGCTGTAATGTTTCCAGGGTATAGGAAAATTAGATTTAATATTATATGCAAAAGCGTAATTCGTTTCTTCCTTAATTCTCTTATACTTTTACGCTGTTTATGCGGGCAATGCTGAAATGTATCTCACAATATATGCCATTTTAAAATATCAAAAGTTAATTGAGCATGAAAAGAAGTTTGGAGTTGTGTTAGGGAGAGTAGAAAAGTAGCTAATTAGTTAGTATTGTTAGATTGTCAGTTACAGAGTTTGTTATAGTTAGTATTGTAATGGAATAACAGTGGTCTTTGATGTAACTAGAGGCATTAAAGAATAAACTCAGCTTTGGTTGTTTCTATCTTTCTTTCAACTTTTCCTTTAGATAGGATCCTAATTCCTATCAAGATGAGATGTCAAAATCCAAGAATCTCCACTGAAATAAATTAACCTTGGAATATGGGAAGTCTAGTGAGCTGACATAGAAGCATAGTGATCTAATGACAAAGACCAAGGACACCGAAACCAATTTGTGCAACATTTCCGTAAAGGTGCAAAGGTGGAAATCAGAAAAGATGAAGAAGGCTGCAAAGGTGACTAGTACACTGTCAATCATTGTTGGCCTTTTAGAGAATGGCATGTACTGGGTGGAGTATTTGACTCTAAAATCAGATGACTCAACCGAGTAACTGAAAGAGGAAGCAGATGCTTCACATGTCAGTCCATATTCTCCAGAGGTCAATCATCTTCACCTTTTTGCACTGCATGAAAGGGTTGATGCTTGGTACAATGATGAATGGTGGCTTGATCAGGTATTCAATGCTCTTTGTGGCCTCAAGTATAGGGTTTACTTTTTGCCTTACAAATGAGGAGCTAGAATTTTAACACTGTCACCACTAGGGTTAGCCTAGTGGTGTGGGGTGTGTGTGTTAGGATTGTGTGTAGTGTAGGGTGTTGTGTTCAATTCCTTGTAACCTCAACAAAAAAAGAATTTTAACACTGTCTTTTGAGGCTCATCAAGAATGGATTGATGGAAGATGGGTACTTGCTTCTTTGGTATGAGTATGACTACAACATATCTTTTGATTTGTGAGTTTGGCCAAAATAGTCTTTTAACGTGGTATCATTTCCTCTGGTATGACTCATTAATCTTCATTGACTTATGTTACCTAGTAATGATCTCACTATGTCCTAGCAACGCCCGCTTTTTAAGCTTTTAGCTACTTGTGTGCTGAGTCCTGCTAATTAATTCCTACATTTTAAATGCTATTTTTGTGAAAGTGGATTTCTTATTAAGGCTGTGATATGATGCTGTGGTTCCATCAGCATCTCCTTGAACATGTCTTCATTTAAAGGTAGCAAATAATCTCCCTCTATTAACTGAGATATTTGTCTACAATGTAAGTAGTATGTCTACTTTCACATTCCTCCTTTTCTCCTAGCTTTGTATTGGAAAATTCATGCTTATGGCTTTGCTTTTCCAGTCTTTCAAGATTTTTTTTCCCCCACATGAATCCTGATGAATGATAATTTACCGTTTCCCAATTTCTATCAAATTATCAGATCATTATGAATGAACTCGACAGTTGCAGACATCATTTGAAACGTCAAATGCATTCGGAATTTTTCTGTAGTATTTAAAGCTTATGCTTGAACAGAATTTGAGACAAAATATTGTAGTCATAGGCTGTTAAGTATTCATAATTTTAACCCACTGATAGTTTATGAGATTTGTTGTGCCGTCCATTTATTGAATTTGAGCTATATTATCAGTTTTTGACTGAATTTATTGCATTGTGGTTTACTCAGTACCTGATCCAGTTGCTCATTTCTTCTACCAGGTTGGTTTCTTTACAGGGTTGAAGCCCTGATAATGAGTGAATTACTTGATTTTCTTCCTGCCACCTTGCTCTTCTCTCGGGGTGCTTTCTGCCATCACTGACCCAAACATCCGAAACAAGAGACTTTAATTTTTTGCATATGTTGAATGTGATCCCATTTAGCAGAGTTGAAAAAATGTAATATGTCAATTTTTAGGGTATGTTGGCATTGGCTATCCCCATGATAATTGCAACCCAGTTCCGAGAGAGAGATCTTACTGACATTACGCTTATACGTATATCTACGATGATTTGGTGTTAGTAAATCCAGAGGACCTTAAATCAAATGTTAGAGAATATTATAAGCTATTAAAAAAGTCATCACCTTACATCTTAAGGTTTTCGGGGTTGAAGTAGTTCTTTACATGGTATCAGAATTTCCTTGGTTACAATGTCACGAGTTTGATCTTCACTTCCTCTCACTTGTGAAATTAAATAAACATAGCATAAGGTAAATCAAAAATTAGGCCTATACAATAATCTACGCTTCAAGCCTAAAAGACTTTTGCGTGAAGAGTGTGTTAGATAATAATATAAACCATTCAAAAAGAAAGTATGTGTGTGACCTAAGTAAGGGTGTCGCACCAAAAAGCCTTTTTTATTTTTGCGTATATTTAATTCCTTAGATATGTTCCCTCGTCAAGTTAAAATATGTTTCCTCTCTTATAAAGTCATGATGGATAGCATCTCCACTTAAAATTTTATTGTTATGCTACCAATTTCAAAAGCATGGCTTAGTGGGACAAATTCCATTTTGTAAAGATGAAGGCGTTAGTGGGTTCCCTCTTTTGGTGTGGCCATTAAAGTCAGTATCTTCAATAGGAAGCAAAAAATTACTATGACACAAAATAATAATGAACAAAAGATTATATTAACGATAAAGCAGCATTTATTGTGTCTAATTTCCCTTTTAAAGAAGAAAGATAGAAAAGAAAACGCACTTGACAAAATCAGATGCCCTTTTGGTCCATTGTTATTTGTTAATTAGAAATGCTCATGGCTATGGGTGTGATTGATTGAACCACAAACTTTACCTTGTCACTAACTTGGCGTCTGCATCGTAAATGTTCCTTTCAAACAGAAACACGACTCTTGCGGTGACCCATACGCTCGTCTCACGTATGCCATGCAAAAGGAAGGCACAAACTTCTCTTCCAACAAGATAAGTGAAGAATTTGGAAAGAGACAATGAGCAGCTGTAAGCATATTCTCATTGTAACAAAAAATCGCTTAGCATATTCTTTTTCTTGTACGTCATCTTTTATAGAGGTCCACTAATTTTTGATAGCTATAAGCAATAAATCATTACATATATACAAGTGCATTACATCAGCAATAATCTGATGAATAATCCATCATAATCATATACAAATACAATATTATTTTATTTTATTAATTAATTAATTATTAATTTATTTGTGCTAATTACAGTTTGATGATCCTCCACGGCTTCTCTTCCTTTGGTTCTTCCATGGCTTCTTTCCCTGCTGTGAACAATGACACGGGAAAAGACATAGACAAGCCAACCAAAGACTTGAAGGTGATGACAGATCCATCAGGAGGGCCCTTGACATAAATCTCACTCAAGGTGAACCAAATCAAGAAGTCCCTAGCCTTAACCCCAGTAAGATTCTTGATCTTGTTTGGCTCCACATATGCTGTAATTATTGAATCATAGCAAACAAGTATGTTATCAAACCTGTATTCCTCCTTCTTCTGGAGCTTGAGCCAAACAAAGCCTATGTCTTTCACATACCCACATTCCTCAATGTCCTGAATGGTTAATAACCCATCTGGGAGGCCTATTTCTGCAAGCAACATAGCGAACTTCTCCCTGCAAACTTGGTCTCCATAATACACCTCTGCTCTGGCCTTCAGCTCTTCTGTTACTAAAGTCATTATTGCTTGTGCTTTGTGTAACAAAGAAAAGGTGATGGTGGATTGGTGTTTATGCCTAGGCCTATGAAGGGCTTTCTATTGACCTATATGCTCTTGGTGTTTATTGGAGGAGCTTGAACATTAAAGCAATAGATAACTTTTGAGGCCTTCTGCAGTACTTCAGCCGAATTCAGGTTTTATAATACCTGAAATATGCGACAAAACATTAAAATATATTTGGTGTCACTAATGTATTTTATGTTGGGACCAAAGTCACCAAACAGTTAAAGGTGCTCCCTTTCTTACCAAACGGTCTCTAGATGGGATGGATTTTATGCATTTTTATATCGAAAATTCGGTTGAATGGACGTACACACAAATCGAAAAATAAAAAAGAGAAATAAAGAAAAGATTTCACATACTAATTTATCTAAGTTCATCTCATATAGATTACGTCCAACTTGTTTATATTATATTCACTTGCTTATTATAAATCATTTAGTTTATAAAAAAATATAAATATGATTTAAAATTTTTTAATAGTAACTATTTGTGGGCTCAAGCTTAAATTATTAAGTAAAAAAATTTACAACATGTCATAGGCTCACAATCACAGCACTGCCAAGTCCAAACTCTAACTCTATTTGCCTTTTCTGCTGATTTCGTCAATAAAAATCATCATCAATATGTAAAGTATAAGCCATTTCCGACAAATTCTTGATTTAAATTTTTTAGAGTTAGACAGAATTAGAGTATAGGTTATATTAAAAAAAATGAAATTAATTGTAATTAAATAATAAAAACTATTAATAATGTGAGTGCAAATGTGTGGATTTGAAACTGTTATTATTATTAATATTATTATTATTATTAATATTATTATTATTATTATTTTGGTTCAGGGGCATTATTCTTTTATACTGAGGATATGTTAAGCCTATTTAATGTTTGCAAGAATTAGCAAAGATTTTGATAGAAGACTAAACTCATATGGTAGGAAAAACATCAAGGAAGGTTTAAAAACTAAAATATATTAATGTCATTGTAATGTAGTTAAAGGGTTGTTTGAAAAGTATTAAACTTTGAAGATAACTTTTTGGTGTTTGTGTGATACTTGCACGGTTATTTCAACTCTAAAATTGGGGGGGGGGGGGGGGGGGTGGGGGGGGGGGGGGGGGGGGGGGGGGAAGGGCTAAATTATAATTTATTAATAACTTGTAATTTGGAGAATTTTATTCCCTGGTCTTTTTTTTTTTTTTTTCTTCTCTCTCTCCTCTTTCTCTCTCTACTTTTTTCTCTTTTGCGGGATCAAAGGGCCGGGAGCTCTACATTTTCTCTCGTAATATATATAACAATTAATCCATTTCAATCATAACTTTATTTTATAATTAAAAAAAATTAAAATTTATTAGTTTTATGGCATAATTAAAATGTCCATTTATTTTTATTTACTTTTAGAATTATCTTTTAACTATTTTTTCATCAAAACATCTATCTACCAAAAAAAAAAAACTAAAAACATAATTTCCTATACATATTTCTTTGAAAAGGCAAACTTGAAAGCTTATTATTAATTTAAAAGAAATTAAAAAACGTGTTTCCTTAAAAGTCATTAATTATAGGAGATACAAATCGTGAAATTTGAGCGAAGTCCAAATTTTTTAACCCAAGTCCAAAATGAAATCAAACAATGGCAAAATAAGATAGAAAAATTAAAATCGAATATGAGCGAAGGACTCGGGCTTGGTAAAAAAAATAATAACAACATAGGCTTAGGCTTTACCCAATCCCTAACCTATTGCATACCTAGCACTTCCTGATCATAAGTCATTTCATCATTACTTCCCATCCTCGTTATTGCATCATTTTCATTGTGGATCATTTTTAGGCTGCTTAAAATAATAAAAAAATTAAATCGAACCATGAACCGAATTGAACTGTCCCTTAAAATAATTAGTTTTTAAAAATCAGTTCATGAACCGAACCGGTTTTTAAAGAACCAATTTATGAACTGAACCGACTTTTAGAACCAGTTTAAGATCCGAACCGGTTTTTAAAACCAGTTTAAGAAACGAACCATTTTGAACCGAACCGTTTTCAAACCGAATTTTTATAACTTTATTTTTTAAAATTTTAATTTTTTTTCTTTTCAAAGGAGGATTGACCCGATCCGGTTTCAAATCGGTTCTGAACTGATATATTTTTCACTGAACCGAACCATTTAAACCAATTCAGTTTGATTTTTCAAAAAAATCGGTTCGGTTCGACCCATGCAGATCTTTAATCACTTTAATGTCGGCCATAGATAAACATCAATTTTTTTATTTTTTTATTTTTTTATTTATCGAAGAATATAATAATGATAATTGCGGTTGCATTTATAGGCTGACAATAGCATCTAGGATTTTGGAGTTTAATGCTCAATTGGGTTTTCAAATGTCAATAATGTGCCATGGGATATTTTTGTTGAAGGCTCCGCTTGACATTGAACATGGCAGCATCAGCATGGACTGTGTCTTGTACATTAAAATAAGTTAGGGAAAAAAAAAAAAATTGTTGGAGATCGTTTAGATAATGAAGACGTAAGATAATGAGTAGAAATAACATTAGAAGAATTCAAAAACATTAGATGGAATCTGAAAACGCCTAAATTGGATATGAAGTATTAGATGAGATCATTTCTCTAAAATTTTCGCTCACTCCAATTGTCATTAAATATTAAAAACTCTTTTTTTTCCCTCTCTTTTTTTCTCTCCTCTCGCGCCAGTTTCTCTGGCAAGGCTGCGTATACTACAATCGGTTGCTGGTCTCTGTTTTTCTTCTATAGTTGCTACTAAATATGTATCCCAAGTATTAGGACAACTCATTTTAATTGGGCTAAGGCCATATGGGCTACGGGCCCAATACATTTTGCTGATGGGGTTGTCCCTGCGGGAGGAGTTTGCACGATTCGTTGATGATGCTGATGCACTCACTCAAAACTTTGATTAAAGATTACTTGAAAATCTCATACCATGAAGCACTCAAATGTAAATAAATTGAGGAACTATTTTATAAATTTTTATTACTTGTTATAGCAGTTTTTTTTTTTTTTTTTTCCTTTTAAGAAACCAAGGGTAGAGCCATGTTAATTTGGGTGGGAGATTTCCTGTGATTTTTTTTAAATGAACAAGTATAAAATATTAATGAGTATTCCAAAATTATAATTATATAAATGATTGTTTACTCGTTTTTATCAAAAACCTGTTTGGCCTAACATTTTTTTAACTTAAAAGCTAAAGTAAAAAATAAGAACAGAAAAGATAAAATTAAAATTATTTGATAAAGTAATTTTTTAGCTTAAAAACTACTTTAAAGCTCAGATTATAAATAAATCATTTGGTAAAATAATTAATATAAACTTCAATTTCAATCAAAATTACCTTAAACATTATATAATCACAAAACAAGATTATTGTTTAAAAATAAAAAAGATAATTTCAAATTTTTTTTTTTGAAAAAACTATTTTTAATATATTTAAAAAACAGAAAGGAATATATTTATATATTATTATATCGATTTGTAAATATAAATATGTTAAAAAAAAATTTTAATAAAAATTTGTTTTTTTCAACAACTTTTTTTTAAGAATTTTTAGAAAAAAAATGATTTAATCTCTCGTTTTAAAGAAAAAGGAAGCTAAAAAAAGCTAAGCCAAATAGGTAATAAGAATTTCTTTAATATTGATAAAAAGCTTATATACTATTTAAATATTGTAAAACATAAATTTTCATAGAGGACAATGACATTAGTTAATTATTATTTCTTTTATGCATGTCTGAATATTCTAAATAAGTATATCACGAGTTTTACAATTATTATACTTTCCTAGCCCAACCTTCGTTCTCCACTATTTGAATTCATAACATCAGTAGAGTATTTGTAAGTAGGGATGTAAATAAATTAGATTGGTCTACAGAGGCCTATGGCCTAGTCTATATTAGGCCAGACCTAGTCTATTACAAATAGTTAAATAGAACAGTCCTAATCTTTTTTTAAAAATCTATCCAAAAATCAAGTTATAAGCTTTTTTGTACATGTCTAACCTATAAGTCTACATACCGACTTAAATCATATTATTTATTTATTTTAAATAAATAAAATTATCATTTTAATAATTTTAAATAATAAAATAATATTTTTTATTTAATTTTTAATTGTTAAATGTTTAATAGGCTTAAGTCAAAGTTTTTATTTTTTAAATATAGATCAGATCAAACTTATAATTTGAGGCTTACATTAACTAATAAATCAGGTCAAATCTACTTGTTTTTACACGAACTTAATCTATTTAAGCTAAAATCTATCTTAATCTAACCTATTTACATCGCTATTTGCAAGTTTTAACTCTTTGAAAGCTGTAATAGCAAGTGGGATCAAAGGACCATTTTACTGTTAAAGCATCCCTAATATTATATGCCCCACATTATTATCCTTAGGTGCCACCAAACTCTGCCAACAGCCCATTAATCAAGCATACCTAATTTCTTAAACCAAGTTAAGATTTTCCCACGTGGCAACCTGTATCGGTGACGGCTCTATAAGGGTAAATGGGTGTTTGGTCCCGTACTAATACAAACTTCTGTTATTAATGCATGATTTTATTTTATTTTTGTGTGTTTAAGTTTTTTTTTTTTTTTTAGTCTCTGTACTGTTTAAACAAACAAAAATTTAGGTAGATAGCTTTTTTGGTATACAAAAGAAAGTTCTGCAGATTCATTGAATTACATAAGGTTTTCATTTTATCCTTTAACATAACACAACAAACTTTTCTATACTCATAACATTTTGTGGGGCTCACACTTTTTAAAACAAAAAAATAAATAAAAAATTAAGGCACGCAAAACGAATCTCTATAACATTACACAATCATTTTTCCTACAACATAACTCTTATAAAACCCATTACATAAATCTATATAGATAACTGACAATGTAGTCATATATGAATACAGATTTACTCCTTCGTCCTTTTATTTTGAATTCATTGTTCTTTAATATAATCAAAATTATAAGTTACATTTGATTATTCAATATTGGAGAAATGACATCATTTCATATATAAAAATATGAGTTTGATATTTTTTTATGTTATAGAAGATAAAATTATTTATTTTTTACACACATATAAAAGTGTGTGAGGCATATGAAGAGAAGAGAGATAAAAAAAAATATGATCCCACACAATTTATATATGTGTAGGAGATAATTTATCTCCTAAAACATTAAAGACATTAAACCTTAAAAAATATAGAGTCTGAAAAGTAAAAAAGAAATCTTGACTACAATCTGATCAAGGTATATTTAGATAAGCTTTGAAAAAAAAAAAACTCTACTTTAAATTTTTTTATCTATTTTCAACGATTTTTTAATTAAAAAATGATTTTTATTTAAAAGAAAACACAAATAAAGCTTTCCTCAATCAAGTCATATAAACCCAAGACAACTTTATGAATGTTCAAAATACGCAAAATTAACTTTATTATAACACAACAGTGCTTAGTAATAAAAGGAACATTTATTTCACACTATTTCTCAACTTTTCTATCTCAAGATGTTAACGTATAGTGTTGGTTACTATGTAAATTTCACAATTCTTCCATATAGCTTTTAATAAGAAAAAAAATCAATGAAAAATACGAAAGCATAAGCTAATTGAGATAATTTTAAAATCTATATATTATATTGGGAAAAGTAAAATTATTTTAAATTATTATATATTCAATATTTATTGTGTCCCCTAAACATTTATTTCTTAGACCCTTATGTTATATTAATTATCTTAACAGATTGGAATTTCCTTGTGCAACTGCATAAACCAAATAATAATTTCTTCTGTATGTTTCTTGCAGAAACATATTCACCGTTAGGCGTGCTTGTATGATTCATACAGCTATTCAATGGTTGAATAAATTTTTCGGTGGAAGAACTTCTTCGAATTGAAAGTTCACAAGCACCTATGTATATACAGGTATAAATTTTTCGGTGGAAGAACTTCTTCGAATTGAAAGTTTACGATACCCACATTTACAATGAGTTACCTAACAATTAATAATTGTTAGTTATAATTAATAATTTAAGGGAAATCATTTTCTCATGCGATAGGAGATAGCTTTCTTATATTGTGAGACATCGAAATCTGTGTAATCTTTTTTGTTTTTTTTTAACAAGTGGTGGGCCCCATCACTTATTGTGTCTATGGCACAAGAGATGCAACCTCATGTGACATGAGAAAAGAGAAACTCATAATTTAAACACAATTTATATAAAGTTATTAAATGATACAAGTGGCAGCTATTTAAATCGAAACCACCTATGTATATATATATATATACGTGAATATTCGGCCATTGGATGACACATCTTTAAACATGGCACTTCATACTTTCTCCATTGCTGTTTTGCTAACCTCCCTAATTCTCTTCACCCTAAAATCTTACTCTTTGGAACTCAACATAACAGATTCTGATGTTGATCGTATTGAATTTGCTCTAAATTTAGAATTTTTGGAGGCTGAGTTCTTCTTGAATGGTGCAACGGGTGTTGGATTGGATGCTAATGCTCCAGAGTTAGCCCAGGGAGGACCCCCTCCCATTGGAGCCCAAATGGCCCTTCTGGACCCCCTCACTCAAGGTGTCATCTTACAGTTTGGTTTGCAGGAAGTTGGACATTTGAGGTCTTCTCTAATCTCTGCATTTCTAATTTCTTTTAGGAAAAAGTGAGAAATTTGCACATGTTTGTTTCTCACTTTTGAAATGAATTTGGTATCTCATTTAAAGCAAAACAGCCAAATAATTTTGATGGATTTTGCTTCAGTGTCTCTTAATTAAGGAAAAGGAAGACTTCTAAAGTAGAGTTAACATGCATCCTCCATATTGCAGGGCCATAAAGAATACAGTAAAAGGATTTCCTAGGCCGTTACTTGATATAAGCAAGGAATCATTTGCTCGAGTTATGGATAATGCCTTTGGGCAACCTCTGCATCCGCCTTTTGACCCCTATGCCAATTCCATTAACTACCTTCTTGCGTCTTACGTGATTCCTTATGTTGGTCTCACGGGGTACGTTGGAACCATTCCAAATTTGCAAGGTACCACGTACAAGAAAGTAAGGCCCCTAAATCACCTTCATTTACCAAGAATTTTAGGATTTTGTTTTCTTAATTTCTTAATTTACCAAGAATTTAGCAAGGTTCAAGATAAAAATTTTAATAAAAAATGTCACATTCTTAACAAGTACCTGTAATTGGCGTTACAAGACAAATGTGTATGTGTGTGTATGTATGTATGTACAGCTTGTCGCTGGTCTTGTGGGAGTAGAGTCAGGCCAAGATGCAGTTATTCGAGCATTGCTATATGAATATCGGGACTCGATAGTGCTGCCATATGCAAAGAGTGTGGCAGAGTTCACAAATCGCATCTCAATGCTTAGGAATAAGCTAGGAAATGAAGGATTGAAAGATGAAGGTCTTGTGGTCCCTATATCAGAAGGTGCTGAGGGCAAAGTCCGAGGCAACGTGCTTGCTGCTGACAAAGATTCACTTTCGTATGCAAGGACTCCAGAGGAAATATTAAGGATAGTGTATGGGAGTGGTGATGAACATGTCCCGGCTGGCTTCTTCCCTAAGGGAGCAAATGGTCGCACAGCCAGATCTTACTTAAACCCTGCAGCATAGTTATACTGTTATAGACTTATAGTCTCTCCTGCTGACTGCTTTGTAGACTATATCTTGAAAATATTATGCCTGTCACGGCTAACATATTATAATAAGCATTATGTTGCATTAAACTAGCTAATAAGAAATTTGCCATATGTTGTGTTAGAAACACTGGTTTAGAAGTGTCACGTCATGTTAAAGACCTCTTATGCATTATGGAATACATATTTTGATGATGACAAATGATTTATAAAAAATCTCAAATTGAAGATGAAACTTGAAGACACAAGTGGTTAAATTTTTAGAATTTTGTTACACATTATATTATATCACATAATATCTCTCTAAACTCCATTGCATACCATATTAAAAATAAGGGAGTTATTAATCTTATGTCACATAAGATAGGTATCTCATGTGGGTGAAACAAAATTATGGAGCCCACAATTTTTAAAAAAATAAAAAAGAAAAGAAAATATGGGCACAAGGTTCTATGAATATATAATATAAGACAATTATCTTATGTGACATAAGAGAACTATTTTCCTATAAAAATAATAACCTTTTATGTTATGGGTTTAGATTAAAAGTAAAACAATAAATAAATAATAAAATAATTTTTTAATTGAATACAATAAGCATGTTGCTTGAAAAGCGACGTAGTACAATGTGGAACTGCTACTATAATAACAATGTGAAAGGGACAAAGCCTGATTGATGGAACAGTCTAACGAATTCAATACTGGAAATGGAGTTGATGTGTCAATGGATTGGTTTAGACTTTTTATTTTTGTTTTCCTTTCGTTGCAATGAACTTCTTAACCGATTTGCGCCCATGAAGTCTAACAATTATTCAGCAGGAAGTGACCACAAAGAGACTTTTTTTCCTCAATCGCAATGAAAAAAATAATCACATTAGCATAACAAATAATCAAAAAATAAAAATAAAGATCCCGCATAAAAATGGATACAGGAATCCAATTTAAACCATGTAATCAATTTTATACACAAAGTTAGATAAAACAAACAAATCTCGTTGTCATATCAGCATATATCTAAACACAAAGGTTGGCCGGTGAACAGATATCCTATTTAATGAGTCAACTAAGTCAACAAGTTGGGCTTATGATATGGGCTTGACTCATTAGATAGATGTTTTCGTTTTTCATTTAATTTTTGATTTGCATATAATTTTCGTTTCTCGTTTAATTTATGTCACTCATTTAATTTTCATTTGAAATGTGGTTTCCATTTTCATTTATTTTACGTTTTTCATTTAGTTCCCATTAAGGATATATACCATTAACTTTTTAAGCTCAACTGGGACGAAAAACTTTTGCTATTACTGACTCAGGTAGTTTCCGCTTCTAAATTAATTTTTGTTTGTCATGTAATTTTTGTTTTCATGTAGTTTACATTTTTCTATTAAAATCCCATTGAGGTATATACTATTATTATTTTGAGTCCAACCAGGGGATGAAAAGCTTATGTTATTGCTCACTCGTTTAGTTTTCGTTTCTCATTTAGTTTTCGTTTCTCAATTAATTTTTGTTTGAAATATAGTTTTCGTTTTTCATTTTGTTCCCATTAATGATATATACTATTATTTTTTTGAGCCCGATTTGGGATGAAAAACTTCTATCATTGCTGACTCATTTAGTTTTCGTTTCTAATTCTCAATTAATTTTCCTTTTTCATGAAGTTTCTGTTTTCATTTAATTTACGTTTTTCTATTAAAATTCCATTAAGGGTATATACTATTATTATTTGAGCCCAACTTGGGGTGAAAAACTTCTGCTATTTCTAACTGACTCATTTAGTTTGCATTTTTTCAATTAATTTTTCTTTTTCATATAATTTTCGTTTTCATTTAGTTTACGTTTTTCATTTAGTTCTCATTGAGGATATATACTATTATTTTTTTGAGCCCAGCTTGGAATGAAAAACTTATGTTATTGCTGACTCATTTAGTTTTCATTTCTAATTTCTAATTTCTAATTTAATTTTTGTTTCTCAATTAATTTCCATTTTTCATGTAATTTTTGTTTTAATTTAATTTATTTAGTTCCCATTAAGGGTATATATTATTTTTTTAAGCTCAATTTGGGACGAAAAACTTCTGCTGTTGCTGAATAATTTAGTTTCTGTTTTTCTTTTAATTTACTATTTTCATTTAGTTCCAGTAAGGGTATATATATTATTTTTTATTAAATTATTATTATTAAAAAAAAATCTAGTTCATGGAATCTCATACACGTACGTGACATGTTTATCCTCTAATTACTTCTTCCCTTCTAGTTATATATATATATATATATATATATAGAATGTTACTTTACAAATCTTTATGGACAAACTCTTCACTTAAATACAAATTTTTATGCATTTATTAGTCCATCGTTTTTGTTGTTGTTGTTGGTAGTTTATTAGTCCATAGTTTTTTTGCACCATAAGCCATGTGGCTTTGTCCTTGTTCATGGTAGATCACCGCGTGCAAAACAAGACTGAAGTGCCAAGTGGCTGTTGTCACAACCTTACTTTGTAACTTGTTAGAAATTTGTTTATTTTGGTTTTTTTTTTTCTTTTGGTCCTCATGCAGTGGATTATTCATCATTTTGCACCTCTTTCCTTTCCTCGTCCTCGTATGTTTCTAAAAGCTCAGGGAGTAGGTGTAGCGTTGTATTTTTTTATTTTTATTTTTAAATTACTTCTTGCTGACAATGATGAATACATTATAACAGAATATTTCTAATTTAAATCTTGCACACATGTCAGACAATTTATTGTGCAAATATGCGCGTTTAGCCACTTCTACTCTCTACCTGCACCCTATGTAGCACTGATACCGATACGGGACACGTGACACGACATGATACGACACCCCGACACGTTAATTCTAAAAACAGTTAGATTTCGACACGTTAGGACACGTTGTGATATTAAATAATAATTTTTATTTATGTAGTGTATATTATATTTAATATTCAATAATTTAACAAAAAAATGAAGTTAAACTTATAATACCCATCAATTTTGCAAAGAAACATAAGATATCCCAAATATTTATATTAAACTCGATAAAATTATAATCGTAATCTAACGAATCTATTAGTTGGAATTAAAAATGCAACGCAATGCAACCTTTGAACCATTTTTTGAGTTTCTACAATGCGTGTTGGAGTGTCGGAGAGTGTCGGGAAGTGTCGGACACGACACGTCAAGATCTTTGAAGTGTCGGTGCTTCATAGCCTGCACCTTTAACTTTAGTAATTCCTAATTATGCATTCTTAGCCATGCTACATGTCCCTTATGTAATGGAATTACCTTATAACAACAGGACTCAAATGGATTTCTGAATTAACTTGAAAGTTATTTCATCAGAAAAGCTCTATCTGCTTTTGACTTCTATGTTCCAGCACAGCCCTTTGGAATTTTATCAGTGGTTCTTTTCCGGCATCCTTGTCTATTTCTTCAACCACATCTGAATAAACCATGTTTTGCCATTGAATATATTCAGCACGGAACAGTTGAATTCAAAGCAGCCTTAAACCGTGTTCAAACTCGTCTCCACTAGTCCCTCCTCTGAAGGTTGATAATTTCGTATGGTGACATAGCACCCGCTACTTCATCTGCATAGTGGATGAGCACTCCTTAGAGGTATGAAGTTCAGCATCAATTAATGTTGATTCAGGTAATGCAGCTGCTCCACCACTTGACACTGTCCTTCGGAATGTTCCGTCCACCACACTAGCACATTTATTCACCCGCATCTAAGGGGACAACCCCGAATATTGTAGAATTGTAGCTGAGGTTCTTTGCATCTTCATGTGAATTCATTGTAAACTTGTAACATTGATTCATTGTAGTTTTGATTTGTGGATATATTAGTGTGTGTACATGTAGCAGCACATTTGGTTACACAAAAGAAATTAAAGAAGAAGAGAGAAAATTAGAGAGAGGGTGAGAGTTGTCTTGCAATTTTCTGATATCTTCATTACCCCACAACTTGGCCTATATATCCACTATGAGTCTGTTACAACTGAAGCCCAAATTAACATTAAGTAAAGGAAATAACGAACATGCATTACCTAGCGTATTCTATTGAATTAAAACTATAAAATAGCATAAATATATTGGGTTACTACACTCCCCCAACTTTCAAAAACAACCTCGTCCACGAGGTTGAAGCACAAAAATAACTCATCTATTTTCAAAAATAAAATAAAATACCATCATATGTTGCTATGAGAGTTGAGTTGCCCGGGTCAAGTGCTTCGTCAACAATCACCTTTATCCAAGATTGAAGTATGCTTGTCTTCATGACTCCAAAAAGCATTGCCGCTATTACAATAACATGGGAAGTATGTAAATTCCCATCTCCTAATTCATGATGTCAATAGAGTCCCAAGTCTGAACTGTAATGATGATGGCATCCCAGTCCCAGCTGAAACTAGCAAGAACCACATATTTTATAAAAATTAATATAAAATTATTAATGTGACTTTTTCTTAATTATTTAAATTTTTAAATTAAATAATTCTTCTATATAATATTAAAATCTATATGATCAAGTGATTATAAGTTTATCCATCTTTACCTAAGTTGATCAATTTACACCTTAAAAGACAATTCAGACTATGTTTTGATTGATGAAAAGTATGGAAACGGACATTGCTTGAATATTTTTGAAAGGAATGAAAAATGGAGAAGGATCTGTATTGTTTCTAATTCTTTTCTGATTTAGAAAACTTTCTTTCATTTAAAGGAAGGAAAAGTCCCTTAATTTCTTCCGGAATGTGTTGGAATATTGTAAAATATAAAAATTACAATCCAGTATGAATGGAGGGAGTGCAAGTTCACGAAAATAGGGAGAACCTTGAGAGAAAAAAGAAGAAGAAAAAGTGTGTTGGAAATCGACAATCACACAGAATCGAGAAAACAGAAAAAGAGATAAGAGTAGAGAGATTGACACGATGATTTACCCTGGTTCACCCAATATAGGCTACGTCCAGCTTGTC